TTGAGCGTTAAAGGGTTTTGACTTTTAGTGATGCAAGAGTTTTGTAATGGCAGTAATCTCCAACTATTAGTATTACCATTATAATTAACCCTATCCGTCGGGTTAACCAAAGTTATTGACTTTGCCTATCAGTAGTTGTAATGCTCTGGCTAATTTGTGTGTTTTAATAGAAGGTATGCATTATTAATATTTTTCTATCATTTTGCTTCTGAAAACATCTGGGGATAAACTCTTGAAATCTCTAAAATGTGTGTTTTCTTGACCTAATTTTAATTTCTCCAAATAAAAATCCCCAGAAGTCTCAGATTTAACTGACCTAATTGAAGTTGCTGTAATTTAGTGAGCTCTTTTAAAGGCTGACATGAACTATTGAGCTTATATTAAACATTTTAGCTTCAGTGCGTTCAGCTCCACTGACCAAAACGTTTCTATTAATGAAAACGGTTATGTTGTTGATCAAACTGAAGAGTGGTGAACGTAGCTGAAGGATGGCGAGTTCAGTCCATAAGAATAAAAGATATTGATCACTGGAAAGTCCATTTGGAAATGAATTGTTTCTTTACAAATGCCTGCTGTTTTCTGATGCAAACAAATAGCTGTTCTTTTCTGCATTTTCTTTAAAAATGTTGTTTGTCTTCCTAATACCAGACTCACTGCAAACAAATCTGAATGACTGATATCCAGTGTCAGGGCAGAGAATAAAAAAGCTCTTGTTAAATACAGGGCTGTCATTAATAAAGAAGGTTATAGAGTGGGCCTGCTTGTACTGACTGGAAAAACGCAGGTCCACCTTGAGATGAAGCATTACCATCATCAAGCCCCATTAAGCCCAGGAGCCGCACAGAAATATGCATCTAATGTTTTTTCCAAGGACTGAGACTGAGCTGAACCTCAATGAGTGCCAACTTACAGGTACATGTCATTATTTAGAGGCTGTGTAGGAGCATCATGGAACCAGCGGTGGTTGAGCTATGAAGTGGGTAGAACTTTTAATCACACTTAAAGCTGCACTATCAATTATCCAGGGTAAACAAGAAAAAAAGACTATCTTGGTGTCACAAGAGAGTGTACATAACTGTGCCAATTTTTTAACAGTAATTTGGAGTATTTCTGTGTCTACTGTGTCATTTTTTGTTGTTTAGGTAATTCCCAGAGTGCTATTCACATCCACAAACTTTCCAGTTGCAACAAGTCCTCTATGAAACACCAGAGCGGCAATTAGTGAAACATTTTGCATATAGGAGCGTTGGAGAACCTAGCAGAGAAGACGGTGAACTATATTTATCAGTCATGACTCCAAATGAAATGCCAATGTTGGTCTTTTTATTTAACTTTTGTTTAACCAGATGGACCACCCAGATTGAGAGGGGAATCTCTTTTACAAGGGTGAACCAGCCAAGAGGTCAACAGCACAGGTCTTATATTACATAATTAAAAGACAGATTACTCACAATAAGATAAAAATAACAATTGAAAAAGAGGCAAGTGCAAAAAGACTTATTCGAAAGGATTTAAATGAAATAAGGTCCAATAGTTTTAAATCACTGTGGACTTGTGTTTCATGCTAAGGGGGCAGCAAAACTGAATGATCTTTTTTCTCCCATCTTGGTGCATAAATTAGGAAAAGATGAACGTAAGACGAAGTGGCTTTTTGTTCTTTAAAGGTACTGGACCAACCCCAGCATGGTTTTTCCAAACCAGACTCAGCCAGTGCACATCACTGCAATCAACAAAGGCAGAAAGGTTGCTGATACAAGAAGTTTCCTTGCTTTAAAAGAGAAGCAAGATCTATTTCTAAAATAAAAGTCGAGTTTTACCCTGAGTTTGGAGACCAAATAAACAATGTGTGCTTTAAAAGTTAGCTCCTAAACAATAAGGAAAGCCCTAAATGTGAAAGAAAGCAGCATTAGTCTTGCACATTATGCAAAAAGAAAGTCTGCCTCATTTCTAAAACCTCAACTTTGAAAGAAGTCAGTGTGTCTCCACAGCAGGCACCAAGATCTAAAATAAATCCTGAGATTAATTATTTAGCCCTTTCCAACCGCACCCCCTCAACTAGAGGAAACTTTCTGCCTGTATGACTTTCCAAAAATGCATGAACCCCGGGGCTGGGGAAGGCTCTGCCCAACATTTTTATGATTTGACAGTCATCTGCATCCTTTTAAAAACAGGTTTTAGTCACTTAGTCAAATACATGTACAAAGGATGGACCAATGACAAAGTGCATGCTCTAGAAAGTATGACTGCATGACATGGGAGGAAAATGACATAGTTTAATGCCTAATATAATTCAAACCTTTATTTTAGAATACATAAAAATCATACCTGGTGAGTTCTGCACATTGTGTCTCTGTGCATTTGCTCGTCATTGCATGTCCTGCAATGTCACAATAGCAAAAGGGAACACTGATTGGAGAGCACAAAACATTTTTATGCTTCACCATTCCAAGCATTTATGCTGAGGACAGACAGGCTGCATTAATGAAGTGTTATGAGGTTTCACAGGATTAGAGTTGGTCACACAAAGTTGAATTTTTCAAAGTGGGACTAACATACCTTGGTAATGTGGTTTGGAATCAATTTCTCTTGCATGTATACACCTAAGTGGCTCCAAATTGGTCTAGGTATTCTATGTAGTCTCCAGAGATCACATACCAAGCTTTGACCCATAAATAATCACATAGAAATAAAACTTCCTCATCTGCCGCCCTCAGTATCACTCTCCTGTGTCAGTGTATAGCTCTGCATGTTGTAATGAAGCATGAACAGTCTCCCTCTTTGATATAAATTCTCAATCTCCATTTACACCATGTGTCAATGCAGTGAAACAGAGGCTTTAACTGCTTGGCTAATCTTCCCACTCTGCATCTCTGCTGGCCATTACAGTTCACAGAGTCCATCCATCAGGTCCGTCTGTGGACATATTATGGATCAGAGTGAATCTAGTGGACAGGACTGTAAGGGATGTGAGGGAAAGAATCTATAACTGCAGGTCAGCATCAAGCTTGATTTATCTCTGCAAATCAGAAAAGTTATAATTTACACTCACAAATGGGATTTCACACACTCTAACTTGTAATTTATTTGCCTCACATCACTTAATTTGTCCTCTGAATGAATAATTTGTGCGCTTAAATTACATCAAGAGAAGAAGTCTGTTGTGGACCCCAGGAAGACTAGCGGTGCTCCAGAGCGCAGCTAATGTGGATCCTAAATAAACAAATAGGTTTAACATCCAAATTCTGAAGTGTATTTATGAGTCAATCTCCAGTTGTGAGTATTATCGAAGACATAAACAACCTTATTCCAGTACTCACAAACCCCCCTCTCAAGTTCACACTTCTTGTTTCCATATGTGTTGTTTTCAACCCTGCGAGCTATCCATGTTGTGACCTGACAAGTAACACATTAAAATTCTATTATTTGCGGCAAAAATTAACTAATAACTTTTAATAAATCAGTAACGCCAAAACAGTTTCAGAAAATTTACAGGGCTTACTATTTGATGTGTTTGGTCAACTAGCCAACAGCTACATCAGATTGATCATCTGATTCGGTGGTCCAGGTTCTGCAAATGTCAGCATAGTGGCATCCTTGGAGGAAGAATGTCATAAACTAAGGTAGCCCCTGCCACACATTTTCTGGTGTTTACACACATTGGACTCAGTGCAGAAAAGCAACTTACCTACTTTGGATTTACTTCTAAAAAGCTGAATTGGAACAAAGACAGCACTTTGGAGACAACTGGAGCAACGCAGGTCAGGCATCTGTTAGTTCCTCGGTGAGCGTGTTCGGGGCTTGATCAGGTGGGGGTTTAAGCTCCACTCAGGAAGATGGAGAATGTAACAGAATTCCTGTTGCTGCTCTTATACAGTATGTTCCCTGCCAGCTGGTTGGACAACAAAGCAAGTGTATGTTTGGAGAGAGCTAACATTTGGCAAGACATCAAGAAGTCAAGTAACCAAGTTTTTAGGAAAGCAAAGAACTTACTACGCTATGAAAAAGGAACAGATATAAACCTTGAGGAAGAATGGCTAAATGGTGAAGTTTCTGGTCCTGATGCTAAAAGATGTGTAGGCACAGGGACAGCCAGGCCCAGTCACAGGATAGAGGAAGAGAGCCTGTCTTTAAATGGAGCCACTGTGCTCCTATTTGATCCGGTTCTGTTTGTCAGATCTTGGTTTGAAGCAGAACATTATCTTTTTCAGGATGGCAATGAAAGGAAGCTAAGCCTTTGTGGTCCATTTTTGTTAGGGTCAGAGAAAATGTTTCAAATTCAAGCCCATGTTCGCTGACTAAACTGTGATTTAAGGGCTGTCCTTGAGTAGGAAGTAAAGGGAAATTCTGTAGTGGCCTTGTTGTCAATAACAGCCTTTGTAATGTGTTTTCAAACCCTGTATGCAGTAGTTCATCACATGTATATTATCTAATGAATCTGTGTAAGACTTTAACATAATATTGTAGAAGTTGATAAGGGGAATCCCCAAATTGCCACTGGGTATTTTGCATACTAATGTAAGGTTTATTGTTGAAAAAATGCATTTAATAACTGCTTTCAAGGAACTATTTCTCAAAACATTGCTGAGATCATAGGTGAGACGCATTATGTAATAGGAGTACAAAAGCAAAAACACAATAGAATACCTCTCGTTGCTTATATGCTGGTATATAAGTTGTTCTGGTATACAGCCCTCAGCTCTTGGATAACAAAAAGGTATTGAAAGTGTATCTTATACCCTGAATTTTACAGAATTTTTGTCCAAGAAGAATCTGCTCATCATGTAACACTCAACTTTCTAGTCCCCCTAACAATGTAAGTTGAATTAACTGGCCACTTGAGGTTATATTTTAACATAATGTTTCACCAGGGAATATAATCTTAAGTAGTGCTCAGTTGTATCTCAGAGGGCTTAAAGAATGTAAAAAAATCCAGTCAGACAAAAGACAGGAAGCATGATGTGTAGTACATAGATAAATATATGTAATTAAATACATTCAAACAGCATTTTTCATTAGTCACCAGCATGTTTACATCTGTGTACAGAAGATTCACAACCCGCCACTGACCACCAGTTTACAGACAGGCAACACGAAGATTTGTGTTTGGATTATGTCTAACCCCAAAACCTCCCGAAACTCTCAGCCAATTTAATCCCTGCTGTTTACAATCTGCCATGTCTTACATAACACACACAGAATATTCCCAGTCTGAGGCGTACACTGAAAGCATCTTGAAGAAAGTGCAAAGACTTCAGTATCAGCAGGAACTGGGATTTCTGTCCAGTTTACAATATTTATCTACAAATACCTGATCCTAAATACCACAAAAATCCCAAACATGATTCATCTGTTAGTGAAATAGTTAACTTTTTTCAGCATTTCTGTGTATGAAAATAAATCAAATAAATACAGCTGATATGAGCAAAAACCGAAGTGATAGAACAACTAACATACTTTTAATGAAGTTTGAAACATAATTCCTTTTTATCTCTTGTCTTCACTTAGATTGTTCAACATCCTGTTAGTTCATTTCCAGCCAGCTGAAAAAAACTCAAGTAAAGTTGATTGCTGCAATAAAAGCAATTTGTGCGTTACATTTAAATGACTTTCACTGAAGAAGTCTGGAAACTCTTCAGATTATTTGAGCCAAGTTTGGTCCTCTCACAGAAACTTAATGACTCCAAACTTCTCACAATTTCCACCTTCTTTTCACTTCTCTTTTACTGGTCTTTTATTCGAGCTCTTTTTTCTAAGTTCCAGATCAACCAATGAAAGTGTAAGGATGTTTTTTTTCAACTTTTTTTTTTTCAGTAAAAATCTGTCCACTTTATTTTCACCCAACATTATAATTGTTAAATTGAATGTATAAAACCAATTCAACTGTGTAAAAGCTAATTTTTGGTCACTGAGAGAAAAATTAATTGGGATGCAGATACTTCACAGAACCCAGTTGACCCAGATACCTGTGGCTGGGTGGATAAACCCCTTGTACTCCACTGTATGCGCACTATATCTTTGGTGATATGCAATGTCACAGTATCAGTTATAGATTTCCACAGTGTCCATTACTTGTAATGTTTTGCAATGGCAAAATGGTTCGGCTAATATTGGCTTAATTGTATTGTTTGTGGACTGTTGCAACCTTGTGCATCTCTTAATGTGAGATACATTTCCTCCGCTCAAGTTCCTGCCTCTGATGAAGATGTTGACCTGAATTGGTTTAGCTGCTTCCTCAAAATGCAACTTCTTTTGAGCAAATTCTGCAGCAGGCTGTGGTTTATTTTGGGTCTAACGCTGCTAAACCAAACCAATCCCAATCCAGTGACAAGATGTTTCCTTTTTTGGGAACAAACTCATCATAAATACTGGCAACTATGTTAGTAAATGAAGTGGTGGGTGTAAGCTATGGGAGCCCAAGAGCAGTGGGGAGGAAGAGGGGGAGTCATTTTTCAATATCAGCCCAGCTGTTAAAATTGTTCTTTTTCTTTCCAGTAGTAATCTTAAAATACAAGCTTATTTATTATATACTGAAAAAATTTTGCTGCAGAAGTAAAATTTTGATCTAGTGTTTCCAGCTTTATGCAAAGACACCTTAAGACATAGTGAATGACCTCTCACTCTCTCATCTAGTGCCGGCAGCAGAGCACGTGTCAGACAAACTAGGTTATCAGACACGAGGGACTCAGGTATCTTCTGCGTATGGCCAACATTGTGTGTAATGAGAAGCTCAAAGAGTAGAGTGCTGAGTTTAAACAAAGTAAGTCTTCTCTTGCACCTGACAGAGTTATGACTGATGTCTTGAGTCAAATTTATACCAAGCCGGCTGAAGTCGTCACTTCTCTCACAGACCTTTTAGTATTTGTCCCAAGGTGTTTAGAAAGAGTCATCAGCACCCATGAGTACGGGGAGAAGTGTTGTTTATATCTGATGCTGCAGTTGAGGGAAGAGTTGTTCAATCCGTAAAATGATTCTGCCTGTAAAACGAAATCTTTTTATCAGCTAACTGTCTGGGCAGATTTCCAGAGGGTTGGTCTGTTTGTGAATGACTCTCTTTAAGTCCTAATGCTTCGCCATTAATCATCCCGTAAACAAGACTCGCTGCCACCTTGTTTTTCTCTCAAGTTTTGTGACTGTTACTTTTATTCTGCTTGTAATATCTTAGATTTATGTGTAACTTTTTTAACTGGATCCTTACACCCAGATGAATGTTGACAGGTGCACTTGGCTCTTGGCTAACATTTCCAAAGTTGTAAAAAGCATCCTCTGATACCCTCGCTCTCTTTTGCTTGGACAAAACATCAACAGACCACAAATCTGTTTCACATAAGGTGACTCATTCCATTTTAACAAACCAAGAGAGTCAATTTTTTTATAAATTAAATATTCTTTTCATATCTGAAAAGACAGGATGATACAGATTCTTTACAGCTTCCACCTATGGATGTTAGCCATTCTTTTTCAGCTTATTCTTTTAGGAATGGAGCCCTCAGTTAACTGTAGGGATTTATTTCCAAGGTGCCGTTTATATCCCCTTGGGACCCTCACAGGGAACATTCATGCAGCTAATTTTCACAGAGGTTAGAGGTCAACATTTCCCTGCAGCAGCTGGAGGTTCAACAGCTTCCCCCCTAAGGACCCTGCCAGTGTAGCACATTAACTTTGTGAGAGGGCTGATCTTTGACCCTCGGGTGATGGGGCTGTCAGATGGTACAGTAAATCATTTGGTGAGAAGTGTATAACCCGCAGCCCTGCCAACAAACAAAACTCAACAGGAAATACGTTGTGTGAAGAGGAATGAAGTTCAAGAGTGAAAGCCTGAAGAGTTTGACTTGCGTGACAGTAATTTATTCTCCAAGTGCTCAGTGAAAATACTCCCCTGAACCCTTTTAAAACTGTCAAACCACTGCATGTCAGAAGAGTGGTCCTTGCTAGCTTTGAGAGAAAATATGAACGTAGAAGATGCTTTATATGCTTTAACTCTTTTTGATACATAGGCAGGGAAGCACCAACATATTGACTGAGTACAAGTTTTATCTGATTCCCTGTTAACTGATGCCAATCTAATGTACACAGATTGCAGTATATTTCTGATTTTGTTTAATTAATAAAGATCTGCAGGCTTTCACTCTTGCACAAATTCATTGTAAAGCTTTAATGAAATGAAAGAATCATCTCAAGTTGCTAACGGTGAAGAAGGCGTTCACACATTTTAATACCTAACCTTCAGTAACAGGCTCAATATAGCTGATAAATAATCAGATGTAGTTTTAATAATACTCTTATTACTAGAGTTCACATTCAGCGTCATAAATAGGGCATGGACTGCGCATGACCACCTTTAGAGTGCTATGTGTAGTATTTTGTGTGTGAAATTTTTCTGTCCTGAGGCATACCAGGCTCTTCTGCCTCTCCATCTCTGAATCAGTCTATTTGCTCTAGAGAACCTAATAAGAGCAAGATAAAAATAATGGATTCGGACATTAAATCCACCATAGAGCATCTTATGTTGGAGTGTCTCTGAACTCTTCATAGGCCCATTCCTTTTACCAGTGATTGAATTTGAATTTGCGTCTCTTCCTAGAAAGGTATAGTCATCGAGAAAATGGGTAATGGTCAGTTGTGTTTCAACACGAATAAATATTTCTGATTTTTTGTAAACAAATCTATGCGAGAAGCACAACTCTGAATTTGCTTAATTATTGGTTTGAATCCACAAATACTGCTGAAAAATCTAGAGAGCATTTGCCGTCAATTGTCGTTGCAACTTCTGGCCAAAGAGGGTGCTGTACAGCTGTCTACACACAGGCCCACTACAGTGTAATAAAATTGGTTATGAAGATATTAAAATACTACACATAGCACCTCAAATTATTCTGGGAAACATCTCTTTTCCATCCAAGAAAAATCCTATATCCAAGGTCCATGAGTCAAAAGTCTCAGTTTGGTTTTCACACTTAAACCGAGTTATTCCACAAATACTCCTGTGTCTCTTCTTCCCAAGTTACAAATCAAACACAAAGTAAGGTCTGCTGTGCTTTCAGGTTTTTGGTACTAGAACCAGTTCAGACCTAAAGGAGCAGTTCACCTCATCTTGCCTCCTGTGACCACATCCCCTTGAAACATGACCCTCCCCTCCTCCTTAAAACCTCAGCACTGCTCCTCCCCTAATGAGTCTGTGTTCTCCCCCAGGTCTATGGAGGCTGACGTGGATCTCTTGCCCCGTCCTGGACCTGGGCCAGGACCTGTTCCTGGACCTGGACCTGGGCCTCCGACAACAAGTCCACCTCTGCTTCCTCCATGGCCGGGGTAGACCTCCACGGTGCTGGAGATAGACTGGAGGGAGCGGTCCCGAAAATAGTGGAAGGCCTCCTGGTCCAGGTAGTTCTGCTCCTCACGTAGGCCTTGCTCAAACAGCTTTCGCTTGTGTCTGAACTCGATCACCGTCTTGGTGTAGGAGTTGAGGGTGGTGACAGAGGCAGCCATACAGCAGGTGAAGGAACCCCAGGCCATACTGATAAAAAAAGAGAGGGATAAAAAATGCTGTGGGAATGAAGATGAAAACGAGCTTTACACTCACTCTAGTGGAACCTAGCATTCATTTACAACATCTGTATGATGGGGTCAGAATGACAGGGCACTAACAGTTTACTCTGTGTTTCACTAGTCATCATAACAAAGGTCCATCGCAGGTCATGTTTATGTGTGGTAGTTGTGAGGGTGTCTTACTGTTGACCAAAAGACATGTGAACAGCCGAATCTCGTATTTTTCTTGGGGTGTTGGAAACACCACTCTGAGAAGGAGGTATGACCGTACAGATGGAGAAATGAGGTGGTTATTGAACTAAAACCACTCTGAGAAACATCTGTGGTGATTCATTGTGTACTCTGAAGTCTGCAGCCTCGGGCTTTCTACCAGCTAATGTTGCGAGCACATAACTGATGTGCTGTTAATTGAGAGAGAGTCTCTGCTCTTTAGGGAATAGGTGTGATATTAGGTTGTTAATAGGGAAGCTAACAGTCCCTTTGAGCGAAGTCAAACTGCAGTGCAAGGATAATGTCAAACAGTGATAAATAGACAAGCAGAGAAAATTTACCTTAAGACAGAGACAAAAACAGAAACAAAAAGACTGATCCAGTCAATCAGTATTTATCTCATCAAACAGGGATTCAAACTAATTTGATGTTACTTAATTGGATGTAAATCAACTATTGGCAGTTCTTACTTTCAACAGAAATAATAAACAACTATCTAAGCATATTTTTGTCTTTTAGCATATACACAAGCCCAATCATCGGTTACCCCTGGCCTCTTGCGTGTAAACAAACCATTTCAGATGAAGAAGCAGCTGTTGGGTTCACAGGAGTTTTCCCCCTGAGGTAGCTCTCTGTGCTGTTAAGTTCACAGGCTCAGATGGTGTAATTTCTGTGTTTACTCAGTGATAAGCGTTGGAAGTGATTTCTGTAAAATGAAAGCATGCTCTAAAAGCTTTGGAGAGTAAGATCATTGTAACCCAAAGGTAAGAGAAGGCAGAGGTTGTAAATTCAGTGTGGATTATGGAGATGCTACGTTGGAGAACTAAACCAGCATAGTGGTATGGGGAAGGAAAGCCTAGTTTGTGTGACCTGGCTTGGCTTTAAACTTTTAAAACCATTTCTCACAGTGCTTTAATTTTGCTGGACTCGGTTTCTGGAGAGTTTTAAATCGCACACATGGGTGGGCACATTGCTCATTCATGGCCCTCAGGAACAGACCGCATTAACACTTTTTATGCACCCTTAAGGAGATCTCTGGCCCTACACTTAGGTAGAGGTTAAATATTCCTGGCAATTTTATTCCACATTAACAATCCTGAATGTGTCTTTTTAAAATGAGGGGCCTTGAATGACTGATGAATAAAATCTCCTTTTAGAAAGACTGAGAAGAGCTGACTCTTGCTGCTTTCAAATAGAAATGGGTGTAGAGTGTTTATTTTTTAGGTGTTCTTTGGCTTTTCTCCTCTCATTCTGTACTTGCATTTACAAACCCTGTTATGCTGTGCTGTATTGGCTTCAAAAACTGCAGATATAGTCCCTCAACACATGCCCCATGTTAGTTGTTTGTACTGTCTAATGTACAAGCTGCAAAAGCAGACAGTGCACAGATATCACAAATATGAGTAAACTGAAGACCGTCTTGCATATTTAACATTGCCAAAGCTCAAACAGTGAATCAAAATTAGCTTTTTTTAGATTACAGCAGACTTGTTCACAGGTGAATGTCTTGTGTCGATCACGATGTGGTCGACCTCTGCTATGTTTGATGTAAACAGACTGACCTAACATGCAGGAACCCCTCCTCTTTCCGTCTCCTCTTTTGCAATTGTGCATGTGTTTGGGCACTCTACAGATGCAATACAAATATGCAAATTTAGCGAGTAATTTGAGTAAATACACAACATTCTTGCATCCAGATACATGTGAATTAAGTGAGTAGATGATTTTATTCGCGCTTGGTGTAAACGCATCATTAGATAGCAGTTAAAAACACTCTAATGCAGCTGAATCACATGATCTTCATTAACAGTTTGCCGTCTGAACCAAGGAGGAACTTAACTTTGAACCTCAACTTTGTGACAACCAGTCTGTTAGTGTCCTGAGACAACAGAGGCATAAACATCAGTGTTAAACATCTGAATTAATGCCATCTGCAGAACAAAATAATGTGATTTGGCCAGAAACCTACAACAGCCAGTCAAATACCTGCCGCTGACGTGTGATTTATTAACTTGTCTAGACACCATTTTTTTTCTTCTAAGATTCACTGTCCTTGATCCACAAATGAGCCACATGAACTCAGACAGCAGCTGCAGCAGTGCGACTTCACCTTCGAGCACAGAGCAGAAAAGGTCAAGGTGCGTCTTGTCTGGCTAATTATCTCAGAAACAACAGCCCTGTCGCTCCCCGTGTACCTCATCATTGTCTGTGAAGTGAATAGACACCTCCACAAAAAATAACCTAGAAACCCATTTATAAGAAAGACAGTGAATATTTTTCTTCTGGCATTTAATGATGCAGGGCCAATGAAAATTATTAGCCTCTTCGTGTGTGTGTGTGTGTGTGTGTGTGTGTGTGTGTGTGTGTGTGTGTGTGTGTGTGTGTGTGTGTGTGTGTGTGTGTGTGTGTGTGTGTGTTGGGGAGGGGAGGGGGGACTAACCAGAAGGACCAGCCATAGTCCCAGCTGTGAGGTCTCCAGTCTTCAGGTCCAAGACTGACTGTAATCTGGAACACCTGTGTGTACATCATGTGGGCCACCATACCTAGAAGACCTGAAACACACATACATACTTATGTTGCCAACTGAGAACCATCACTGTATGTAACATAGCAGGGACCTCTATTAAAAATACAGATATAGAATAAAATGTTAGATTTAAGTAATTGAAGACAAATTTTCAGTAGATTTTTATCTCTATAAGAGTATCTTTACATACAACAGTACAACCGTTTAAACCATTCCTATTTATGTAGCTTTTTTTATTTCTTTCATTTGGAGCTTCTTAATGTACATCTTTTCAAAAATAAGTTTCTCTGTAAAACAAGCTTCACAAAAATGATGATGAAACCTTAAAAAAGAAAAGTCATTTTTCCATCTAAGCAGCCATGCCAAGACTCATTTTCAAAAGTAATAATTAAAGTATTCCGAAAAATTATCTTTAAAAAAATCCCAAACTAATATAAAAAAATGAATAAGAAATTTTTAATGGGCAATGATAATTTCACCTTACATCAGAACCCCAGTGCAATAAGATCCAAGCTGGTAGGTTCATTTTTTCAAATTTGTAAGAAGCCTAGTTTAAACTGACATTTTAATAAGAAGATTTCCACAAAAACTCATATTTGTGATACCTTTCTTTTCCCTTTTAAGTTTTTTTTTGTTTGTATAACTATCAATTGTACTTAAATTTTAAAGGGTTAAACGGGAACTCTTGCTTGACCTAAATGTTACAAGAGTAAATGAAAACAGCTGAATGAATGATCAGAGTAGAGAAATGCGGGCTGCATAGTGCCAAGGTCAGACAACACATTTCAAGTGCCTCGAAACCCCAATATGGCAAAGGTAAAGGTCTGGGACCCTGAAAAACAATTATTTTACAGAATAACTACAATCAAGAGCACAAAAGGGGTGCCTCATGTCCTCTTGACAGAGAGTCCAACATGTTTCGTATGTTCTAACATGTTAGTGACGTTGACTAGTTAGAGTACAGAGCGTTCTGCCCAGCAACAAACGTGAACAAACAAAATGGCAATGCGAAAGAAGTATGTGTACATTGGCACATGTAAGATAGGAATATAAGACAAGGGATACGTTAATTAGAACCACCTCGACTGTCAATTCAGTCATTTTTTTTGCACAATAGGCACTAAAATAGCAAAGTATTATCTGCCAGCTATTTTCCTACATGTGAACTCAGCACAAGATGATCTGCTGTAATTACCAGTAGCAAAACAAATGTAAATCAAATCAATTACAAGATGCAGCTCAGCATAAAAGCAGTTATAAATCAGAGCACATGTAACTATAATAATTACTAATTATGCAGTTTGAATCAATTTAACTTTCCAGTTATGAGATTTGATCAATTGGAGATAGGAATGTAATCACTCATAAATGTACAGTAAATCAAAAGGCAACATTGTTTATGAGTTAATGAGAGATCAATGTAGAGGCTATACATCAAAACAACACCATCAACAGCTGACATCACTGTGTGTGTGTGTGTGTGTGTGTGTGTGTGTGTGTGTGTGTGTGTGTGTGTGTGTGTGTGTGTGTGTGTGTGTGGCAAGTGCACACACTTATAATCAGCCTCACTGTGCTTGCAAATAAAACTCAGCTGCTCCAGATTTACAGCTCACCATAAAAGAGTCCCATTTCTCCTCCAGCCTGACAGCCTTGACGATTTCAGATTTCTGGGAATTGTGTTTCTGTGAGTGCAAGTTCGTGCTGACCTTTTTTTATGAATATTGACAGGACAAAATAGTGTCTTTTCAAGGTCACATTGGGGGACATAACCCTCCCTCAGGACAAAATGCAGATCCTCTAAGCACTCAGTTTTATTTTTAAAGATGGAAATAAAAGTTAGGATTTAGTATAGGTTTGAGGTTTGGACAGTCTTCAAACTTTTCAGCTAATAGTTAAATGACAATAAATGCAGAAAATGAAAACATGAAAATATGTAACAGAAATTTAGTACACAGTAAAATATCTGCTTCAGGAGTGAGTGGTAGAAAAAAGTATTGTATTCTGATACAAATACAATATAATTGTTTCCAAGTTAAGTGTTCAAATTAATAGTCTTACTCACTTTCTACCACAGTCAAGAACTCAAACAATCACTTTTGCTGCAGTGAGTAAAATGTGCCTACAGTAGAACCACTGGTCTGATTGGAACATCCTTAGAGAGGCTTGATGAGGAGGCTAGCAAAGTGCAGAGTATGTGTGTATGTGTCTGCGTGAGAAGTGACACAGTGCCAGCCTCTTGTGTAAGAGGTTTAATATGAGTTGGGAGAAAAATCCCTGGCATCCTACATGACGAAGGCTTCCAGGGGATAACCTTTGGCCCCAAAGAACCTCTCACAAATCTGCATCAGTCTCTCTCCACCCCATGTTTTTTCTGAGACTATTTCTGAATGTGTAATCATAAATTTTATTTATCAAACCCGATCCCACAGAGATTAAAAGATTTTAGAAACAAAATATCTGCGTCAGAGTCCTGACACGACAGGACACACAGTCAGACTTTCTTCTGAGACTCAACCTATTTTCAGTGCGGCAGAAGAAGTGTTCCATTTGTTATCAGAGTGAATAGATGTTTTACCACATAGGCATAAGTATTTAAAAATGATTAAGAGAAGTAGTTTGGGTTTACCCCAACTTACCAGACAGCACGGTGAAGACAGCAGCGAAGGCGTTCAGTTTAAGACCATCTATAACATTGCTGGAGTGGAAAAGCTCGAGACACATCAGACTGAAGCCGACCACCAACAGCAGAATGTAGAGCACTTCTGACACCACAGACAACCATAACACACCTGTAAACACAAAAATACCTATGACGTACACTATAAAAAAAGATGGACAACATTTTAGCTCCCCTAAAGAGCAGCTAAAACACTTGAAGCTCCCCCTCCTGACTGATCGTACTATAGGTCATGAAGCCTGCCTTCTCTAATCTTAGCAAAATGTAACATAGGTCAAACGTAAAATCTATTAAACCATGTCAGATACATTTCTTCACAAGTCCTTATTATTTCATTTAAAAAAATTGCAAATCATTTAAAGCCTATGTTTAATTGAAAATAGTGCCAAGACAATATACATGTTAACAGGAAATTGTAATTGTTTGATGAGAATAATAAATACTCGTTTTAAAAAAGGTTGCAAGTCCACTGAAAATCACTGTATGGGCTCAAAATCATTCCAAAATCCAACAGTTTGTTGTCCCATCCACAAATGCAGGTTGTACCATGTTAAACTGTAGTTGTCAAGCTCCTCGGAGTCTGAGCATTTTAAACATGGACTGAGGCAAAATAGACAACTGCATGGCGGTCTGACAACTCTAAATTGATATTGTTGTTGAAAATCATGGACAATCAATCAATCCAGTAAGACCAAAATAGGATGTTTATGGTTTAACCTGCTATGAAAAAGCACTTAACCTATGCAAATCATTGAAACACAAAAGGAGAGATGTACATAATGTAATAGAATTGAAATGAATCGTCCGATGAAATTTAATATTACCAGCTTGCTGAGTTTAAATGAGGCAAGCCCTACTGATTGGTTACATAACCTACCCCATGTCCTCTTATGTCTCCAAACACTCCGACATGAAGAGAGATAGGGATTGATGGACAGCAAGAGCCAACACATTATTCACATCAAGTGGGTACCTCCCCTCTCTGAGGTAGCCTCACAGCACCTCTGGGAAACTCAGCATATAGCTCTGGTATCCTCAAATCAACCTTCCTCATGCTAGCTCTCACCTCCCACCATAACAAAGCACCTGATCCTGATTTCCCTAAAAAGTACTCCTCATCAAAGTATTTTCTTAAAATGATAATAGTAAATATATTTTTAGGAAGTAGCAATAAGGCTAAATTATAACCTCCAGCTTGCTTTTAAAGATCTTTTTTCTTTGGCAAACATCAACACTGGATAAAGTATGAAGTCAACAAAACAAAAACTAGACTTTTTCTTAGTTCTGTGCCACAGTCCAGTCTTAGTACACCAAACACTAAGGTCCCATCATTGTCTTAGTGGCTCCACAAGCATTTCAAAGTGTTCAAACTGCAACAGTTTGAACACAGATCCCTATAAGATTTTGTGCCACATCTACATATGCAGATGACACTCAAATGTAACACTGTACTAAAGTAAAACAGCAATAAAATAAACACACAATATAAATCACAAAACTTATAGTGGGAGCTTGTTTTTTTTCTCTCTGGGATAAAGTGTAAGGAACCAAAAGCCCCCTTCTGGATTTATGTGCATGCCATCTAAATTACCTTTTCCCTGCAATAAAAAATAACTGAAACCATAAATAATAGTTTCCATACTATGTTGTGAATACTAATTTGGTTGAAATGTCACCTTAATTATTTCAAGAGCTCATGTTTGTGAATACTTTTGTTCAATGCTTGTGGGAATTTAACACATAGGTATTAGTAGAGAAAGAGTGTACAAATGGACGACCGTCGAAAGGTCTTACACTTTGATCATACAGGCCATTGGCTAGGATATTTAAAAGGGTAAGGTATAAAAGTTCATCTTGATGTGTTTTTAACAGCCTTCTTGATTCTAAATACATGTATTCAAGGCAAATATTCCTCTGACAATTTTTCCCTCCAACTTTGTGACACTGTGTGTGGCCAAAAGCTCACATTTGGTCCGTGACTGAAGGTATAAAGAGGGGAAAAGTTCAAACCACGGTTTGATTTGAGTCCAGACTCACAGGAGAAACAGCACATCTGATTTTTGCCCACGCAGGTACCTTCATTTTCTCATGCTTTCCAGTTCTGAAGCTGAATACATTTCATAGATTGAGTGCCACAGCTTAATCCCTGTTCTTTATCAAATATGCTCTTACTATTTTTAACCAAACATGCAATCTCAGAGAAAGCGCAACTTCGGCAACAATGCTGATTCACTTACAAATTCTAAATACAGCTAGATCCTTCAACGGTTTCACATCTGTCCTCCTCAGAAACAACACAAAATCAATTTGGGTGACCTCAGCTGCTTCATACTGACTTTATTCTCATGCACATTTCTATCAAGCAACAGTTAGGGCTTGATTAGTTAATTAATTTGGACTGTTGTTCCAGCTCTGGACGTAGTGGACTATCTAATGGTTGAACCATTATGTCAGGTACCAAAATAACTGACAAACATATTAGCAAGAGGTCTAATGGGTTGTGTATCAAATAATAAAAAACGGACACTTTCACAGATCTGTACTTTTTGTAATACAATGGCCTCTGTCTGTTCTAGCATCGCATTTCTCTGTACTGTTGATGCCATTGGACTAGATATGGCTTATTTATAACCCCTGCCCTTGGTTAGGTTTCCAAAATTTAAAAAAAAGAAATTACAGAGTACTGACTTCATTAAAAACACACAAAAGGATCAGCATATGCAATAAAGATACAGACCAGCATGAATAGAAACAAAAAATAGATAAACTATGACTGACCACATGTTTATGTCCAAGGTGTTTGTATCTGATCTTCAATTTTGAAATGAACGGTTAGACTTGCTTCAGTTTCAGCCATGTGTGTAAAAAACCTTAAGTTCTGTCAGTGTCTCCATTTCAAGAGGTGAAGTAGCATACAGATTGCTGGCAGGGTGGTGATAACAGATGGAACCAGAAAGTGCTACACATCTGCATAGAAACTGCACATTGTTGGATGTAATGGTAGTTTTCAGACAGAAATACAGCTTCGACCTGTTCTTTACCGGGAGCCCCACCATAAAACAAGACTGTCTTATTATTTGACGCAACCAATATTCTGGATTTGAGGTACCTGAAAAAATTGTCCTTTTTAAATTTTTAACAAAAGTTAATCCGCAAAATTCATTTTTAAAACTCTCAAAATAGCCATTAAAATTTTAGTCTATGCATCATGCAAAATGTATGTTCCAGTTTAGTTTCTTAAATCCATGAATAACAATAGTGTTTTTACCTGAGGCACCCGCACACAGAAACACACACACCCTTCTTTCCAATATATTAATCAGTTTTTATCATAACTCCTATGATAATGCCTCATTTGAATATTAATTGTTGACCTTGTACTGTGTAGTTAAAATTTTAAAATGATTTAGCCCTTGAAACATATACTTCACAAGGACTTATTTTTTAATAAAGTATCATTGTCAACCTTCACCTCAGGGTCTTTCCTGTACAAAGAAGGATGTGGCTATTAGACATTCATTTTTGTTGTATTTTTGGCCTTCCGGCAACACCAAGGGCTAGGACATTAAATGATTGCTCCATTATTCAGTCTTCATTCTTTCATTTTGTGTTTGGTAGCTTGATAAATCTTTGCAGAATGATAATACATATTTCTCAACAGGCAGTTTAGGACACTGAGTTCAAAATAAAGTGACATATTTGTTTCCAAAAGGCCCACAGGAGGACAGGGTGTGTTTGACATCAGCACCTGCATGTCTGACACACACTGATAGGCTCTATACTGTGTCGGAGGAGCCCTCTGGTCATACAGCGCTATACACCCTGTATGAAAAAAAAAATCCCATCACAGCAGAGAGAGATATTATGCAGGATGATGAACAGGTTTTACAACTCTACTGTGCTTCTTCACGCCCGGCAATGTGAACATTTTTAAAGCAGACACGAGTTGTCATCCTGCAACTGAAAACGACCCTTAGGATCCTCTCTAACTTCCAGACTTTTCTCTCCAATGCTCCCTACATTTGTAATTTCTGAAAGGCAGAAGCTCCTCTTGAATCACTGAAGCTCACAACACCAGCATTAAACAGGATTATCTGCTCTGCTCTGCTCTGTTGAGGATGTAGATGAGTTGGAAGAATAAACTTGAGGCTGAGTTTTCAATTTAAGTATCACGATTGGAGGGGAACAACTTGTTCCCTCAACACCCACAACTTTATGTTAATTTATTGCAAAAGTTTTCATGGACCATGCCAGGCACTGTCATATCCAAAGTCTAGATATCTGATTTTACATTAAGGATTGAATTTAATGGAAAAATAAAATGGTTGACAAGAAAATAGATTTTGTGTAACCATTTTCATTATAGAAATCACTGGTGATTTCTTCCAGAAGTGATTGATAGCAATGACAAGGAGGAAACAAGGACTTTCTACTCTACACTGATGCAACGTAATTGGGGCCACTCTTTGATTTTACGAACATTCAACACAACTAAGACTCATATCTGAAGATGTCACATGGCGTGAAGTAAGGTAATCAACTGTAAACCAAGAGGTGAAATTAAAAAAGCAAAACACAAAACAGTCAAAACCAGAAAGGAAAATCAAAGTAGTTAAACCAGAAGAACCAAAACATTTAGTGGGGAAACAAAAGGTGGTAATATATGTATATAGTGGCAAAGTCTTAAGTGGTAAAAAAAACAAACAGTTAAAACACAGTCTCAAATAAAATGTCAACAAAAAGTGGCCAAACATTCGATGGCATTACAACAAGTCGTGAAACACAAAGTGGCAGAAAAACACAATGTAGCTAAAACGCTAAGTGGAGATGCAAAAAGTGTTAGGACATAAAAGTGGTCAAACACAAAGTGGCCAATACAAAATGGCGCAAGAAAAAGAAGTGAAATTACAACAAAAAGGGGCTAAGCATAAAATGGAGAAACACAAAACATCTGAGCTGCACAGAGGCGAAACATTAAGTAGAGATGAAAAAAGTGATAAAACACAAAGAGGCAAAGTGAAGCACAAAGTAGTACAACAACCAGTGGCAAAAAAGAACTCTGGAATATGTGGATTTTAAAATGACACCAAAAAAAAAATAAGGTGCAGGAAATTTAAGACTAGAGATAAAAACCGATATGAGAGAAAGAAAGACAAAAGAATCCTCTGGAGGCATTAGCGATCAAAACAGCAGTAACCACTTAATGATGCTGAGGTGAGAAACAAATGAGATACTGCTCAGATCGAGCATTTGAAGGAGAAACCACAAAACTGCAGTTTTAGCAGCTGAAACCTTCACAGTGACAAATGCTGTCTGTAAACTCTGTAGTATTTTCTTATGGTGCTGCTTTCTGCTCAGTGAATGTTGGACATTTTGGTCCAAACTTAGATATCTCCATAACTATAGGATGGACTACCTTGAAATGAGACCTCCAGTCAGTCCACAAAATCTACCTTAAGGGTTAAAAAAGCCCGTGAGGGAAACTCCAATTGCAACAGTACTGATAATATTTTTTTCAGTGTAATAGATGTGTATGGGTGTATATGAAGCAGCAGTTCTGGGCTTCATCAAATTAAAGACTGCACTGAGGGGAATTCAACCTGCAGCGCTGATAACAGGAAGGAAGGAGCTCATCGAACCTCATCTCACATAATTACATCTTTAATTACTTCAAGTGTGTGTATGTGTGGGTGTGTCTACATGATAAGTCGGCCAGTGGTGCGTGCTGTCAACAGTAATACATTATACATTTTCATCTTTCATCATCTTTCAAAACATTTCATGTCGAGAGGAGATTTCATAAGATTCAGACCCACAGGGAAACCTCCATGAGAGGAATATTGATGGATTGATTAAGTGCTGGGTTTAAGTTAAACGTGCCTCAGCTGCTGATCTTGGCCAGGGCATTGTTGTAAAAGACATTTCAGTCTCATTGAAGCTTTTCTCGTTAAATAAATTTACATGAGGATAAACTGGCATTACAACTTCCCGACAGAATCAGAACAAGAGCCGTTTTTGTAAAAGCACTTGTAAAAAGTACACGATCCAGGGATAAAGCAAATATGGGCTTGACAGTCATTCACAGAGGTGTCTTGAGCATTTCCTGAGCTTGTTTTGACATTTATACTTTTATTTTCGACAGGACTGTGACTGTGAAGAGAGCAGAAACTGTTACTAACTACTTCATAGTGTGCTGTTTTTTTTTTTCTCTTAAGCCTCTACTTTGCTATGCTCCCAATATGCTTGGCAGCAGTCATTCACCTCTTGGAGGGCCTGCTTCTAAATAAATATGGTAGTGCAAAAGAACACCTCTTTGCAAGTTATACTAGAGAGTGGGTCACACTTACTGTATGTCTACTACACCACTAGCCTTTGAGATATTGTGTATAGTAGCTCAAAAATAGCTGACCTGAAAGAGTTCAGTTTTGACCTTTTAAACTTTAAAGAGATTGCAATACGAATCAAATATAATCAGTTAACCTTCAAGTCCAAGTAGACACTTGTGCCAGTAGAGGATCAGTGTCTTCACATAGTCCTGAAATGGGGTGTCTGTGCATGTCATATGTAAAGCATGGTGGCACACAGGAAAACAAACTGGAGCAAAAGAAACACAATAAAGTGATCAGATAAGTGCTGCAGAAAGTAAGTTTTGTTAAAACTTTAATATTTCAAATAGCTTAGAGATTAATCAAACAAATAAGTTATTTTTAATTTTTGACTGTATTTGTAAATAAAATGTTTTTTGTTGGAAACTAACCTTCTGGTATGGTCTCCCTTTGAGTCAAGTATTTAGTAATCTTCCCTTTTTGTTTCCTTAACAGACCAAAATGAAAACTTTAAACTAATTAATAAAAAGTAAAAGTGTTGTGATGTTTGATATGCTTGATAGTGTACAAAATTTGGTTGAGGGTAATTTCTCAGGTTTTTGTGTTCTGCAGAAGGACAACACCCTGGCTCTCTGATGTTTTCTTTTAATCAGTTATTTTCATTAAGCACAAACCTGCATCTCACTGAGAAACATCTGTGAGTTACAAAAACACAGCAGTGAACATGTACAGCTCATAAGAAGGCAGATTTACATATTGTATCCTTGTATGAGAAGCAAGGTCGCCCTGCTCAGTACATCCCATCATTCACCACTGCTCTGTGCTGCATCATGCTCTTCTTCCAGATGGCATTAACAGATGAAACCATCACAGAACTTCCATTATTAACCACCTACTCTGCATGAAACAGCGAATTAGAGGCTACACCCACATGCACCAAGATATTCCCTTTCTTCTGGACGTTAAAATATTCTTTTTATGCGCCTCAGGATATAAACACCATGCGCTGTTAGAAATAACTGCTCTTATCTGCAGTTTGAAGGAACCTGGAGGAGACTTCTCAGATAGTCTCTCATTAACAAGCACCTGATAAGTGTTCTCAAGAAGGGATCATGTTGAAAACACCCGAAGAAAAAATAAAAGGCAAAACCCGAACATTTTTTAAGTTAATTCAAATTCACAGTGCTTTTTTTTTTTTTCCTCTAACACCATAAAGTTAGGAACTCAAATGCTGTTTTGTTATTCTCCTGTGTATTTTAAAATGATATATTCTGCAACCCATGAGCTACTATACGACAACACTGAATGTTAGCATTTAACTACTTCCTATATGACAGAATAACTTCTGGGAGTTAGAGTGCTTAAGTTACAAATGTACACCTTCTATTATGTTGACCTTTTCCTGGCAAGCATCAAATTTGGCCAGTAAGGGTCAGAATACTAATGTTAGCTGCTTAGCAAAGCATAGACTCTATCAAATACAGCCTCAGTGACGTCACTCTCTCAGTATGAAGTTTAAAAAATCAATTTTGACTGAAACTGGACTTTTAAAAACCATCTGAACACATTAGTCGACCGAAATCGCACCAAATCAAACTTCTCATAGCTTGACCGACATACCTGTGTAATGCAGTTGGGTGTTCATTTTCATATCTATGTATACTGCTCAATCCAACTGAAACCAGCTGATGCGTTCTGCATATGCCTAGAGTTTGCACACCAGACTCTAAACTGGAAATTGAACAGTGCAGATGTGCTGCCAGGAATTCAGGTAGGAAAAAAACCTTGCCCCATACCAACGGCACAGAGCTGTAAAAGTGACAGTGTTTTCATCATTCGATGTAGATCCCGTTAGCCTCTTGCTAATGCATTCAGTTGGCTGTTTTAATATGCAATATGTCACTTGAGAGATGGCATAATGGTAATGAGCATGTCACCACCTACTGAGGCAAATGTGCTGTCAACAATTCTGTTCTTGCCCAGTACATGTAAACAGGAACAAGGACAGTAGTCCTGTGTAATCAACGAACCAAGCTAGGACTGTAGCTTGCCTTGACCGAGCATGTAAACGTAGTAACTGGTTTCTGAAGAGGTGTGGCAAAGTCCGACAATGGTAATCACCTTAATGCAAATGCTGAATAAATTTACTGCTTTCAATTGAGCTAGAAACATTAAAAACAGTGAAGCTGGTGGAGGCCTTGAGCCTTCTGGCAAACAGCTACTATGTGCTTACCAGCTAAACAACCTTCGGAGATGCTAATTATGTAAATCTACGTGTAACTCTTCACTTAATAAAGCTAAAACAGATATGATTGAACAGTTTGTAATAACCGTAGTTTGAATGGTTTGAACCAGAAATGAGCTGTGTAGACCACAGTAATACTTTGTACCAGGCTTTAGACATGTTTAAATTTTCTGTAAGGTTAACCACTTGTGCACGAGGCCTAATGGGTTTTTCCTTGGCTTTTGGAGCCAGCCTCAAGTGGACACTTGTGTAACTGTCTTGATTTAATTATCACCACCTGATGTTGCTGCATGGTTGATTGACAGCAACTGTATAAAATAAAAATGACATGTCTGCTTTCCAACAAGGTAGCCAAAACATTTGGAGCTCCCCAACTGGCTGGAGAGAATGAGTCTTACAGTCTGCATCATCCATGTAAACATATAGGATTTTGGTCAAACTTCAAACGAGTTTTAGTCACTAGTTTTCAGCTCTTTCAATTGGAAAAAAGTTTTCCTTTTTTTATAGCACTGCACTTTTTCCTGTCACTTTTTAATGATGCGACTTATGATACCATTGATTAAAGAGGAACACAACACCATGACTGACCGCTGTGGTGACAAGTAGGGTTCCTGCAGCAACAAAAGATGGCGAAGATGCATGATCAATTTGTGCAGTCTTTTGAAGTTTCTGACTTACCAATTGGACTTGTAGTCATTGCTTAAAATCTGTCCAGATGTTCTTTATCTCTTATAGTTTGTCAGTTAGAAAGATGTTTATATCATCATAATGTTGGACTCACAAATTTATAAAACTTACAACCTCAGACACAACAGTAAAATGTTAAAACTGTATTTCAGCTTTGATAGAAAAATGCAAACGCCCTTTCAGCTGACACAAGAGGAAGTCAATTAATTAATGATGGGATGGAAACACAGCCTGAAACAGCAGTGACAAAGTCTGATTTACTGGCCTCTGATAAGGTTAACCTCTCTCTTTGTTCAGCATGTTGTTTGTGGAAAAGTACAACAATTTCTTTTTCATGTAACTCACTCAAAATCTGCTTAATTTTAATGTGAAAATACAGCATTGGCCTTATTTTTCCAGAGTCTACTGGCTGCTATTACTTCCATAAATCACAGCTGACACCACAGCAGACAGGACGGAGCTTGTTTCATATCAATTAATAAATGTCACTTTCCCTCTACACCCTCCTCTGTCAACATAATCATGGTGAAGGCTTTGGGAAGCTTCAAATAAAATGGTTATAAAATCTTTTGAATGCATCTTAAACCACAGTTTTAAAGTACAACCTCAGGTTGTGTTCAATCAATTATTGTTCCTTTCTGAAATAGGTAATCTGGCACTACGTACAGGTGTTATCCAGGAGAAAAGGGGTGTAAAAGGAGTTTCTATTTGAGCTTATTATTCATACAACATATTCCTCATCTGTGCATGTAGGTGTAACATGGTGAATGATAAACGTGTTAAGTTCAAGGGATAAAGAGAATATTTGAATAGTGAGCAGGTAGTTAGTTTTAAAGAGATATTCCAGCGCAAAACTAAGTTAAGGTCAAACACACCGTAACACCTAGTTAGACACCCCGTCAAGAGATGAATGTCGCCAACCGCTTGCTTCTCTAGTGATACCAACTTCAGTAATGACTGCAGATAGCAATAAAAAGAGCCACATGCTCCACAAAAACGCCACTCTATAGCCTCAAATAATGCTCAGAACAGCACCTAACTTCATCAACGATACATATAGGGTCCCAGCCACAGCACTAACCACAGTCTATCACCGACTACAGCGGGGTGACGCAGCTCCAGGAAGAACATTTATGATCATTACTTTATCATTTCCTTGAAGTAATAATCATCATATTAATCATTTTGCACTGCAGGATGATTCCTTTGCCTTAGCGTCTCGGTCTGATTGCATTTCCATAAAGAAGGTATCGTAAATGTTCTTCCTTGAGATGCATCACCCCGCTGTAGTCCGTAATGGACTTGCCTCAGGTCTCCGTACAAACAAGCGGCTGCTGGAAGAGAGTGGGTGAGTTGTGTTAAGTCTCTTTGCTAAAGAAACCAAGCAAAGCTAAAAGGTGTTTGGTGGCTAGTGCTGTGGCTAGGACCCTATACGTACTGTGGGTGAAGTTAGGTGCTGTTCTGAGCATTATTTGTGGCTATAGAGTGGCATTTTGGTTGAGCTCTAGGCTCCTGAGCCCGTTGTGTATTACTATCCTGCGGTCGTTGCTGAAGCTGGTATAACTAGAGAAGCAAGTGGTCGGCAACATTCATCTCTCAATGGGGTGTCTAACTCGTTGTTTAGTGTGTTTGACCCTAACTTAATTTTACGCCGGAATATCCCTTTAAATTTGTGGTGTCCCATATTTCATATTCTCTCTCTGAGTCGCACAACAAAAGCAAAGCTCCCTGTACAGAATCCATGCCTTGAAATTAATACCTCATTTCATTTTATCTGATAAATGTGTCTGTATGATGATAAATATGGACAAAAAAGGCTTCTGGGAATTCCTAACGCTCAGAAACAACCCATGTATGTATTTTTTGTTTTTCTCCCGGTTTCTCTGGGCCTGTAGAACAGGTGGGGAGCGGCAGGGAGTGGTGAAGAAGCCTAATGACTGTCATTACTCACCTCTCTCAGACGCTGGGGCGAGATCAATGAAGCTCCGACACTTCTCACCTGAGAGGGGCGAGAGGAGGGGGTGGGGAGTTAGGGGGGAAGTAGAGAAGAATGTATAGAGGAAAAAGAGGTGAAGAACGCAAGGTGAAATGAGCTGGGACAGAAGCCGAGAGGAGGTGTGAGAAAAGGAAGGGAGAAGAAGAAAAAGGAGAGGTGGAGCAAATTAGGTGATTAATGAGAAGCAGAAAAAGATGAAAGGATGAAAATGAATGTAAAGAGGGCAGAGAAAGGATAAAATGAGCATTAGTGTCACTGCATCAAACCAACAATTCAAGCTAAAAGGGCATCAGGCAGGGAGCCGGTGACACAGGAAGAAACACATTATGAAGTGTTGCTGCAGTCAGACTGATCATTAAAAAGTACAGAGTTACATAAGAAAATTCCGCATGAGAAAGGGACTGAATTAGAAGTATTAATTCTCCAGAGTATCAGTTAGAAAACCTATCATTATTTACAAAAACAATTGAAGTGTCAGGGCAGTTTAAGACTAGGAATGTTTATATTGAAAGAAACTTGTAATACATTTTACTTACCTCTGAAAAGAACTTCAGGTTTGCCTAATTAAGGTCTGAGACCGAAACTTTGCCACCAATTAATGTTTTTACTTGCAAGTTGGACGGTGTGTGTGATTCTTCCTTCGTTTTTGAACATCTACCCCCTTTCCTACACACCTGCCCCCGAAACAGAAAAACCTTTTTCTACTTATCTCTAAAAGAAATTCTTGAGTTGTGTTCAAACACATTATCCTTATAAGTGAAAAACATGAACATTGTGTCATTCCCATGTTTGACTTCCAGTCCAGGTCAATCTTATCAGTTCAACTTGATGCGTGCTTGTCAGTGGCAACACCAAAAAAGGCTTTCATGCTTATCTTAAATCTCTCCAATTGCCCCCTAGGGACAATCCTCCACCTACCAGGGCTGTGACTCTAGTTATTACCTACGGTCATAATGCCCTATCTCTCTACTACCTGGATGTAAAGAAGTACAGATCACAGATGGCATCACATAATGCAGTGTTTTTTATTTATGCTCCCCTTCCCCATCCATTACAAGAACCTTATCTATGCGTCCTTTTGTGTTTGAATGGACATCAAGTTTGACTGGAGAGTGCCACTCAGACTCAAAAGTTACCCCAAAAAGAATAAAGGGCAGAAGTTTATGACAGAACCAAACATGGTGACAGTGATGGAGAAGATATAATATATTTGTTAAGGTCTGTAAAGTCATTAGATACTTCACAACATGGAGCGAGAGATCTGGATTTTTTTTTAACAAATTTGTTCTGTCTTTGGTTTCAACTGTTGGCTTTTTTGCACCCATGATCCTTCGGTGGCACAGTAATATTTGGCCCATATCTGCAAACTTGCAGGAGACATGTAGATATACAAACAAAATCAACACAGAATGTGGCTGGAGCCTTCTAACCATATTCTAGATGATGTACTGCATAAATAAACCTTGAGCTGAAGTGTAGCTACCCTCAACTAGCTAGAGCTGTAGTTCTGGTTAATGACTGCTGCTATAACATCAGATTGCATCTCATATCACAGTGTTTTTTTATTTATTTAATTATTTCGTATTTTTAAGAGATAAAATTGTATGCAGACTGTCTGGTGAAATCACTTGACCAGAGCAATGTGTAGCCGTTATGTGGGTGTTAACCTGCAAGGAGGACTGAAGGCTGGTGGTGCTAGTTCTGCTAATGTTAGCCACAGTTAGTAATCCAATTTGACATAAACTGCCTGCAGACTCTGATCCTGTGTTTAGCTTTGTTACAAAAATTTAGCACAATATTTTCTGAGTACTTTCTCACTTTTAGACCACTTAGATATTTAAAAAGTAAATTTCTGTTTGCATGAGGCAGTTAGTTGCTTTGGAACATTGTTAAATATGACAAGGATTTTCCTTTATAACAAGGAAAAGGAGAGTGGGGTTTCTGGTTTGGCCCTGAGTCTGCTGAGTTAATGCACTGGGTTAGATTCCAACCCGCAGCTTCTTTCCTGCTTCTCACTCCCACTCTCTCTCTACAGGTTCCCTGCTCTATTCACTCTGTCCTATCCTCTTTGAATAAATGCATTAAGCCTAAGAAGTATAGCTTGAAATGGAGAATAAAGAAGAAGGAGGAGATGTGTGACATAGGCCTAAAGCTAAGCTTTCAAAAGGTCTCCTTTGAAATGTACCTGTGACTTTTTCTTACAAACTCAGGCATAACTTAACCTTTAATGTCTATTACAGATATTTGTGAATCAAAATGTTTAAAAGTAGCCGTGACCTTTAAACCATGAGGTTATAGAGCTACTCTACAGTTACTATACCAAAGTTTAAATAAGATTGAGCCTATTTTGTCACCTTAATGTTGTGAACATTTATATTGGAATGGTTTTACTTCATAGGGATTTTACAGTATTTTTCCTCACATATTATAAGTGTATTATTCATGTCAGGAGTGTTTTTGCAGTATCATCTTTGCTCTCCTGCACATTCAGGCTGCAGAGAGTTGATCAGAGCTCGGTGGGACCCTGCAGGTCACAGATCAGCAGCCACAACATGAGCCATAACTCAGCCTCTGCAGTGTCTCAGGCAGCAAGCAGCCCCATCCATAACCAGCATGACCACCAGCACCCTCACACAGCCGTATAACCTCCCCCGCACACAGACACAAACAGACATACTCCCGCCAGCTCACACCTCCACCACCAAACAACAGATGAAGACGCTGTCTGCTTCCGGTTACTGAGGATGATTAAGTTTTTGGGGCCGAAAGACGAGTGGAGTGAAAGTTATTTCCAGGTCAAAACTGCAGCGTCACTGTCGTTCACCATCTGTGTCTGCCTTTTGTGCACAGGTGCATGAATGTGCATTAATTCAGCCGAACGCAACACATCTATGTTAGTAGGTGTTCAGTTAAACTCACAAGTTTGAAAGAGACTACAACAAAACAGTTTCAAGAAGTTACACTAGCACAATAAAAAAAAAAAAAGTCAATCTGAAAATTTTGGAAAAAATATTTTACTCTCTCTTTGTATTGACATTTTTAGTGCCATTATTAGTTTACTACAGCTTTATAGTTCAATATCTGCTCCAGAAAATGAAATTTAAACTGGACATATGGGCCAAAATTGGCATTCCCAATCATCCAAACTGGCTTGAAGGTATCAAATGTGGGGTGTGCTTTAACTGCAAGGCTATTGGCAACACTGTCTTGAATCCATTCTTTATGTGATGCATTTTGAAGGTTCCCTCGGTGAGATTTGTCTTTATTTAAATCAAACTGAATTTAGTCCCTTCCACAAACTGGTGGGGGTGGGCATTGCAAACATACACCACCTGTCATATCATGTGTTTGATGGTTCCATCAGTGGGGAGATGATCTGACCCTTTAACCTTCCTGCTCTGCTCGCTCTCATTTCCACATGAACAAACCCATTTGATCCAGCTCCCAGGAGCAGAGAGTTGAACTCAAGGCTGGATGATGAAATTATTGTAACAGAGGGTGGCAATAGAATTTAAGACAAACAAGGAAATGTAAAGATAATGTAAGATAATTTAATGGCTGTGCTCTATTTGCCCACATTATGAATCAGCCATAATTTTTCATCTCTCTGCTTGTCTCAGCTTTGTATTTTGACCATGCCTTCATTTGCTGGACAAACTTTAACATAACTAAACCAAAATAACATTACTGTTGCTTTAAAGTTTGTAAGTGAGTCACTGTTTAAAATGCAGCATATTATTTTATAAACACAGCAGAGAAACTCTTCTTGGGTAGTTATGATTCATATTTTCCAAGGTCAAAACCCCAGGGAAGTGGAGAGACCGAGTTTAGTGGCAGAAAAATGCGTTCATGACTTGTTGAGCTGCAGTGAAAGCGTGCCACAGCTCAAAGGTGAGCGGCTCGGCGTCTGATTAGGACATGAATCTAAAATGTAATTAAGGAGCGAGCGGGCTCATCCGTGACCTGCCGACAGGACTAACTAACAGCACAATCAGTATTCCTACTCCTACCTGCTGCACATAGGAGACAACAGTGCTCAAACATGTCAATTACCTTGAAAATCCCAGTTATCATTCTCCACGTCTGGGTTGTAGCGGGAAAAATTAATTTAAAGAGGCTGCAGGTGGTTTCAAATTTATTTGTGGGCTATTTTTGGTTCACTTATACACCACTTACTCATTGTTCCCAGCAGCTCAGCAGTCTGTTTAATGGGTGATCTGATGCCATTCAAGGCTAATTGCAGCTGTAATGAGTATGAATGGCTTTGTGAAGCAACAGCTAACGTACCATAACTTTGAAAGTTTTAGCACTGTGTGCCTCATTCAGCCGCATCACATTAATCTGAGTAAGAAAGAAGCTATTTATCTGCAGTCTCCTTTTATGCACCTTGATTTATTTCTACTCAAGTAGAGCTTTAATTAAAGAAGGCTCAGAAATTGTGTAGATCAAACAAGGATGTGATCATTTATTTGGTGCAATCATCTTTGGTATCAGCTTAGTGCCTATGCTATCATTACCCACAATGCTGCCCACCCTACAGTGCTCAAGGTTTTAGGTGTGTGGGGGAGAAGCAGCTCGTGTCAGGATTGACCCACTGACCCAATCAATCACACAAGAGGAAACATAAACACAATCCCTAAAAACTGCAGTTCTTTAACTGGCTACTAGGGGCTGGTTACAAAAGTGATCCAATCCCTATAGAGCCCCATTTAAAATATATGACTTTACCAAAGAATATGACATATCTAGAGTCCAGTTCAAGAAATGCTTAATTTACCACAGACCATATAAAATAAAGATGTACACATAATAAAATCATCCATTGGTCTCTGAAGAGCAGTTTCCAAGCCCAGCAATGGTGGGTGCCATATTGGAAATTGCCACACAACAGCTTTCACAATAAAGTTCTATTGTAATGGATGTGTAACCCAAAAATACCAAAAACTTGGAAAATAAAACCACATGAAAAATGAACCAATGTTCTGGGCCAGCAGTGGACCATTGCTCCTCGCACCGCTGCCTAATTAAAGAATTCAAACTACCCAAAGACATAAGATCAATAACTGGACTGGCACCACCTCAAACTCACACAAACAGTATAATCCCAGTAGTCCAAAACATGCTGAGGAAAAAGAGGTGAAAAAGAAAACCCTCAACAAGAAAACAATTGTAGGAGGGTGACAAACAAAGGCTCCTCCCTGGATAAAAAGTGCTCACCAGTTCCTCTCTCTCTGGCACTCAGTAAATGTAAACAACAAGCAGCAATCTCAGGTCTTGAGCATTGAAGCTAATTTAGGAGTGCTAGAAACTGCAGTTCCTTGAGTGTCCACTTGAGGCTGGCGGCTGAAGCACCAGAAATCACATACACTCTCATTTAAAAAAGCCTATCTTTACAGCAAAAATAAACATATTTGGGGCGCCGTTCTAAAGACATTTTTCTCTGAGTAGCTCCTATCTTCTACTCCCCATACTGTATGGGAAATACATATTATGTTACACGTTGATATCAAAGATATCAAGGTCATGAGTTGAGCGAATCTGAAGCCTGACTGACTTGACTGATGGGGACATTGTAGCTGTTTGTGAGGAGGCTAGAAACTGGCCTCCACCTCTCTGCCTCTTTATAGCTCAGCCACTTATGGGTTAAAATGAACTTGCACTAGCCTGAAGAGCTGCAGAAACATCGATGAATTTGCTGGAGTTGACAGACAGCCATGTTTGATGTGAAGTGAACTTTGTGCAGACTTAAAGCCTGTTCTTGGAGCACCAGACTCTGTTCTCATTACTGCTGTTTAAACAGTATCAAACTGAGCTGCTTACGTGTCTCTTCAATAGTCCTGCCAGATTGTAGTGATGTAATGAAGTTAGTAAGCCTCACTGAAGTGACCATGACAGTGTGTTTTTATTTGAACCTGTGACGGCTCAGGAGGTGGACGTCTGTTTCTGGACATGTGAAGGCAGCAGAATGAAAACACAGAAAGTATAAATCCCAGCTAAATGTGTGCTGTCAGTTTGTGTTTTACTACAGTGAGAAATGCTCAAATATTCTCCACCATGACAGAAAGTGGGATGCTGACAGATGATGCACCGTCTTAAATAAGATCATATTGTGTATTTAAACCCTGCGGCGACCCTGGATGTGTCAGCGCCCTGAAGCAAACCCTCATTTTTTTTCACCTCTAAATCTCAGAAGCCTTTCCCCTGACAACATTTATTTACAGTTTCAATAAATTTTCATGTCGTGACGCGGCTTATTTACCCAGAACTTTTGGAACAAGTTGGCAGTGATTTAATACAAATTTAAAGAGAATATAGGTGTGTGGTTTTGACTATCAGGGGCCAAAAGAACCATGTTATCTGAAAAAAGTGTTGAGATTTATTATATTAATAGTTTTGTCATTATTATATATTAATAGCTGTTACTCAACACTCCATCAGTCAAATCAGCCACTTTCCTAATAATGCAGAACAACTTAAAGCTCCAATAAGGAAATGATAGTTTGAGTCAAATTCTGCGTTGTCTATGGACTCTAACAATTTACAACTATCACTATCAACTGTGCCCAAAATATTGAGCTTATCTAAAAGTGAAGGCTCCACAACACCAAATGTTGCCTCTGTCACTCTCAAAAAAAGAGGCAGAGAGGCACATTTATTTAAGCATTGTTTCAATTTACGCAGACTATAACTATCTGATGTCTGCTGTGCAGCAGTCCAAGAGACATGAGTTACACTACATTAGCTTAACCATAACAGATGGACCAAGCAGTAAAGTTTTGTATTCACTAAAGAAACAGGTACAGCTGGCAATGGAAGCATTTTGGGTACACCAAGAATGACCAAGGAAATATTAAGACAATGTCCATCTGCAAAAAGTGAAAGGTCAAACCCCTAAACTTGATGTAGCATCTCCAGATTGTCACGCTGTAGTACAACCCATCTGACACATTTAGAAAATAACAAAGCGGCAATCTCCAGTCTTGAGAAATAAAGCTAATGAGGAAGTGTTAAAAACTGCAGTTCCCCAAGTGTCCACTGGAGGCTGACTGCAGATGCACCAGAGACCATTAAACACTCATCAAAAAAAGAAATTTGTTTTTGCTAAAATAAACACATTTGTCAAACATACAGACTGGTTCAAAAAACGGGTTTAGTCTCAACTGCTTATTTCTGACTTTGCATGCAGTTCTTTTTTTGTTGTTGTTGTAAGTTTGTTTGATAGATATTCAGGTTAGGAGGCTGGCTAATTAGAAGCACGACTGACTTGACTGACAGACGGGAATGCTGTAGCTGTTTGAGAAGAGGCTGAAGGACTGGTCAACCTGGTAGGTGGACAGAAAGTTAGGTTGAGTCAGCATTACCAGCATGGCAACCGTCACTAATAGCCTCAAAACTCTGCTTCAGAAACACATGCGTGACACCACCAAGACTAAGTCTATCTATCACACAGTCCATGAAATAAACTATTCTTAATAGTTTCATGACTTTGTTCTCCACCTGAGCTCTCTCTTTGACAAACTTTATTGATTAATCCCTGCTGGGCTTTGTCTCTGTCTCTCGCTTGATCTCCCTCTCTCTCTTTCACTAACAGAGGAGTTGGTATAGTTAGTAGTTTGGATTTTTTTGGGTGCCTTTGATCATTTCAAAGCTTAAATTAATGAATTGTTTTGAATCACCTAACATTGAAAGTAAAGAAACTTGTCAACCTTAGTTCCCAAGTTGTTGAAAAGTGTTTTATTTTTCCACTGAAAGGCTAAGATTGCAAATTTAGAGTTTAAGATTGGTAATGAGAATATTATTTTCTGAGACTGACCATAATTTCAAGAGTGAGATGCTATAAATTAAAACCAGAAATAGCTTTGCAGAGTTATAATGAGAGTGGTGGTTGATCTCCTTTTAATCAAGAAAAGATGTAACAAGGTGTGCTTAATGTACTTCAAACTGCATTTTTCATCACATGATAATTATCCTCCAGTCAGTAAGCTGATGCGATTGGCCACACTGCCTCTCAGAGACACAGCAGCACCTTTGTTATCAGGGAATCAGCCCCAGAGAGCTATTTTCCATGTTAATTATCATCTGTCACTGTTTATACGCCATATCCCATGCTATTACGTATTAGCATTATGTTCTTCAAGTACAACTTATTGATTCAAGTCAGCGAATGCTCCATGGGCTGTTCTGTTAGCTGAATTGAAATGAAAGTGGTATCGCACGAGAGCAGGACAAATCCAGTACTGTGGGGGTCTGGTTTTGGAGTGTTTCCAGTGGGAGTTCACTGGGAGTTCACTTTATTCAATGAGGAAAACTGGGGTGTAAAACGGGCATCATGTGTACACACACCAATGGAGAAGACATGCAATCTGTCATTTCACAAGCGACAACACCTGTGAGGATTTAGTGCATTAAACCCTTTCATTTTTCACCACTTGATGCTTTGAATTAGGGGTTTGTAGGAGAGAAATGACTGAAAGAAATGACTCCGAATGAAAGGTCACAGACTGGGCACAAACTGTGCAAGGCTGAATGCACAACAAACTCAAAAGAGATTTGTGAAATTTTCTTTTTTTGAGATCCAAATATAAGCTTGGCAAATCATTTCTGCTGTAAAAGAACCAGAAATTGACATAAATAAGACAAAATGTCCACAGTCTTTCATGTTCTGATGTCTTTACAACGAAAATAAACACTAGATAATAATTGCTAACTAACAATTTAGCTGCGACTTCAGGCATACCAACACTTTTTATTGTCTTCTTTCCCTTACACTTTAATATCTTGTGACATCTGGGTCCCCTAACATTTTGAAAATACTCTGTAACTATATTTTTTCCCTTAACATTCCTGTGTATTCAATTTTAATCACATTTATTCTGGTTATCACCTCTTTTTGTCCCTCATTGCTGTTTTCAGAGCACATCTTTGCCTTTGTAAAAACACTCTGAATTGACTCTGTGTTAGAATGTGCTTCAGTAATAAATCTGCCCTGCCTCTTGTTTCACTCCAAGGACGATCGGTTCAAGGCTCGGCTCAGTGCAGTGCTCTGTTTAGAGCACATCCAACATACAAGAGGGTGCTTTAGAAACCACCTGAATAAGTCAAAACTCCTTAACAAATTTTTAACCTGAAAAGAAACTTCAGGTTGTGATTTGGTTACTTTTTCTTTCATCTTTTATAGCATCTTAAGTTGTGTTGGAATTTGAATTCTGCTAAAAACCTCTCTGAACACAGCTGAAATGCTGCTATATACTTCAGATGCAGGGTTATAGCTGTTATTTCTTCATAGCTCCTGCAGGAATACAACCCATCATATAGCTGACAGCCCCATGGCAAAATTCTCACTAGTGCAGGGGCAAGAGGGTGATGATGTTGACCAGTTGGAGTGTACGCTATGTGTTGTTGTAGTTAATAACTTGTTTGTTTGATTGTTTAAACCGAGTGCAAAATGGTCATATGTAGTGTGTCACTCATTTTGCAGAAAACGATCAAAACACAACTTATGCTTCCACATGCGTCTGCATAATAAGATCATGCCTAGCAGAACAGACGATTGCAGAATGAGGACATGCAGTGTTCGCACATTTGAACAAACAAAGCTAGCACAGCTGCCCACATAGCTGAAGTAAGAAATGACTTAGCAAACCCCACCAGCCTCAGAGACCATACTGCAAGATTTAGTTGCTACACATAGATCTTGCTTACTCCTATAGAAGTGGTTGGGGTTCAATAAGACAGACGTTGCCAATCTGCAGACTATGTTGGTTAGCAGTTTCAGTGAAAGACAACTTGTTTCACCTTCTGGATCAACCACCTCACTTACTATGACCACGACTGACCAACTGATCGACCACCCAAAAGAAAACACTTAGCAAACTGACAGTCTTTCAGAAAATGACAAGAGGGCAACAAAAGGCACCGTATTAGATTTATGTGAATCAGTTGGTTTTAATTGGTATCTGGTCCCTAATGGTTTATTTGCTTTTTCTGAATTTTGGTCAATTCAACACACACCTGAATGACTATTTTCATAACACTTTTGTTGCCTGAAACTTGAGCAATGGGGCACGTGTCAGCCAAGCAGTAGAAGAAACAGCTTTTACATTTTTCACATGAAACAATCACAATAAATGATAAATTTGACTGTTAAAAGTCAGCAAGATGAGGGCGCCAAAACTATAGGTTCCACACAGAGGCTATACTACTATTAAGAGCAGTGTTGTGTGTGAACGATTAAAAATGAATGTGTTCTTTGAATGCACTCACATTTTTATAAATACTGAACTGAACTGCTCAGTTTATAACTCATGAATGGTAACGTGAGTGTAGCTCACGGGGCAGTCAACGACCACTCACAATCCAAGAGTAGCCAAAAGGTGCCGATAGGTGATGGAAGGTGCTGAGTGATGCCAAGCACTGTGTTTTACGGCAGCAGAAGTCAGATCTAAAGCACTCTTCATGCATTTAACATGGCTAATCCTGCTGATGGTATAAACAATGTGGTTTGTAGTGCATGTGAGATCAGTGGCTTTGAACATTCAGACCGTCTTGCAGTGTAATGCTGACATACCTGTGATTGTTACTCATTGGCCCAGTAAAGCCTACATACAACTTAAGCACCAGTTTCCGCAATAAAAATACTGACAAACAGCACATTACAAGAAGTCAACTGTCCATCTTTACATCTTTACATCCAAGTAGCAGAGCATGATTGCATTATGACAGCAAATACTAACAGGAGCAATAGCCCATTTTTAATTGTCTACTTTTAGTCATTTAAGTGTCTAAATGTGCACATCACTTATTCATATAGATGCAAAATTGCATTATCGTGTATGGATTCTGATGCTGTCATTATGTTGTAAACATCGACTCTGGTGATTTTTAAGGATCACTGTTTGCCTCCCTCCCTAGCCCCCCAAACACTGTCCAAAGAAAGACATCAGCTTGTAAGGGACATAAGTTAACTTTTAAAGTTTTGGGCGCTCATTTCTTAAAAATTTTGCAGAGTTTAAGGAGTGGATGAGTGAAAGAGGCTCTTGTGTCACATTGAAGTTGAAACCAAATCTATGTTTCTAAGTAGTAGTTACAAGCAGGGCTAGAATGACAGTTTCTGTAATTGTTGGTAAAATGCAGATTATTATCTTGCTTTATCACAAATCTCTGAAATGTTATGAAGTGTTTGCACATCACTCTGTCCACAAAGCGGCATCTGTAAGAAGCCAGAGTAGCAGCAAATCCTCAAATTTAAAGTAAGATGCAATCACAGTTTATGTTTTTACTGGTTTGAGAGTGCCTTTTTATTTTAAGGACAAGCAAGCAGATTAAAACCTTGAAGTGTCATTTCATTCATGCAGATTCAAGAGGGGATTTAAATTTCACCCTACTAACTTACACCTGGAAACTGCTTTACATGTCTAGTGATTTTCATTGCTACAAACATCACTGTAACTGCTATTAATGGGACAAAAAGAAATGCTACTCTACCGCAGGAAAACATGTTGATTTTACGTGTAGAGATGTGTCCTTGGTGCGTGCGTAAAAATGACCCGAGTGACCTGTTAACATTCAGGAGGAATTGAAGCAGAGGAGCTGCGATTGAAAGGATTTAAAGCATAAATATCTGGAGACAAGAGATAAAGATTCTTTCTGTGAGATGCTGAATGACATGTTAAAAAAAACCTCTGCGTGATTCGAGTAAAAACTGGTTCAAAGAGCGTCCAGGACACGGTTATGTTAAATCTTTTTCTCGATGATAAAATGCAGTTTTTGTTGCTTAAACCGCGAAGTAACTGCTGAACACGTTTGGGTTTCAAGAGAAAGACACCTGGACACTGTGCCCACCTGCCTCGTGGATGTTCTCCTCGCAGGAGTACCAGATACCGGTGTGGAAGCGTCGGAAGAGGAAGCGGTCGTCCCCGGTCTCCCAGCTGTAGTGCACCTTGCTCGGGTCCGTCTCGTTCACGCCGTAGTCGATGCAGTTGTGTCTCCGCTGCTTGCTGCAGTTGGGCTTGGGGACGCGCTGGGTGCCCTCACACCAGTATGTGGTGATGAAGGCGGTTGTGGAGAAGAAGAGAGCCACCAAGTTCAGACCCACTGACAGCAGCGCGCGACATTTCCGCGTCGTTTTCATGATCTCAGCCGCGTTCCCACTCACGGAGAGAAAGTTCATCCAAGAAGGAAAAGACAGGTAGTCACAGGAAGAGGAGGGAGAGGAGGAAAGGAGGCATGGCGCGGGGAAGACGCACAGAGAAATTACGCGCGTCTCTGCCTCTGTTCTCCTCTTTGGATGAGTTCGTCCTCAAAACGGTGAAGTGACAGGTGGTCCGGACTCTCCGAGAGAGCTGAGAAAACCTCCTCCTGCTGCTACTTCAGCATCTCAACCCACATCCTGCAACATCACAGTGAGAAGATAACTGACCGATAGAGCAGGACGCTCACCGAGAAGCTCTGAACTCTCTCTCTCTCTCTCTCTCTCTCTCGCTCGCTCGCTCTTTCGCTCTTTCGCTCTCTGTCTCTAAATTATTGATGAAACAGAATTTGATGATTTGCAAATCATTTATGGCCAATGTTTAATTAAAAACAGTGAAAAGAAAAGATATTGAATGTTCAAACTGAGAAATAGATAACACAAAATTGTAATGAAATATAAATGTCGAAATGTTGATTCGAACAAAATGTTTCAAAAGACCTTACTTTAAGCTTTGCATACTAGTTTTTTATATTATTGCCTGATTTTTGCCTGATAGAGGCAACTAGTCGTTCAACTGTTCAGGGACTCCTATGCCTTAATGTTTTCAACCACAATTCATAATGGATCACAAGTTATGACGGCAGGCAAGTTGCTTTAGCAGCAGGACTCTTCTACTACAAAGTCATTTTCTAATACATGCTTAAAGGGATATTTCGGGCTAAAATTAAGTTAGGGTCAAACACACCATAACACCAGGTTAGACACCCTAGAGAGATGAATGTTACCGACCGCTTGCTTCTCTAGTTATACCAACTTTAGTAATGACCGCAGGATAGCAATACACAGAGCCACGCGCTTAACCAAAGAGTTACTCTATAGCCACAAATAATGCTCAGAACAGCACCTAACTTCATCAACAGTACATATAGGGTACTAACCACAGCACTAGCCACCAAAACATCTTTTTAGACCTCTGCATTTTTCCTCCAAAACCTGTATATTGTGCAGCATTAGTTGAGCCTTCACAGATGTGTGAGCTTCTCATGCCATCGGGGATGCTGGCTTTGAACAGTGAGCTGATTAGAAGCCAGCTTGTCCCTCTCCTCTCTGGAAGAGACAGTTTCGATCACCTATCCTATATCTGAGTCGTGTTTTTAATGGCTCCCTCTTTGCATGGTTCAGTTTTAACCTCCTTTGATGGATGCAGCAACACTGTTCACAGACAGTGGTAATGGATGTGATTTTAGCCTATGCAGTGATTTCTACTACAGAGTCATGTCTGTTTTTAACAAAGTGATGCCTGAAGATCAAGCCATACAGTATTGGTTTTGGTTTTGGTGAGCATGTAACTTCAGCAACAAGTGTGACTGTATTAAATTACTGTATTAGATCATTATTATTATTATGAGTAACTATTATTTCTCTTTCTCTGATGCACTAGAGTTTTAATGGCACGAGGGCATCAAATAATTCAATTAAAACACAGTCAGTCTAAAAATCCCAATCCAAAATGACACACCTGCAGCATATGCTTATCTGTTATCATGGCACACCTCTCTGTTGTGTTTTTTCAGGTGTGTCTCTCTTGATGAATATGTAGAAACCGAACGGCCTTTTTTATCGATCAGCTCTCAGAGGGCCCACATCTCCAGGCATGAAAATCAGCCGCGACAAGGCCGAGCCGCCCACCACACCAATCCATCACCTCCCATTTTATGGCCCCCACCCCCAGATCAATACAACCTTTGCATGCCGGTGTATGTCTGTGTGTAGATATATAAATGTGTGTGTGCATGCTGTGTGTGGTGTATGTCAGCTCACACTGATTCAGAGTGACAAAGTGCTTCAGAAATGTCAATAAACAGAGCAGAAAACGGTGCGTTGATAAATGTGAGATAAAGCTGTTGGATTTATCTGCAGACAAACTGAACACTGGCAATATAAACCCTTGGGACAAATCATTTCTACTGTCTACTTCAACTCAGAGTGACTCCAGTTTAAACTCTTGAGAGTCCACAGAAGGATGAAATGGATATGCTTTGGCCCCAGAGAACATTTTGTCCTACAGATCAGCTTTCATGGGCCTTTTTTTGTCCATGACATCAGCAATATAGACTGTAGATCAGGTAACCTCTGTTTGTTACGAGGTCACTATGTTTTTACATCATACAGTCATTTAATAGATTCTCTACCCTAAAAAAAATATTTCTGACTAGCCAAAGGGATGGACTGGAACGGGCTCAATTGCTTAACAAGATTTTATTTTTTTTTAAGCAAAAGGTTCAGATTTCACTGCTAAATATCAACATGGCTACTGGGTCAGGAAGCAAAGATCCAGTCAGAAAACTTCAGTTATATTTTATAAAAAGGTTTATTTCTAAAATTCACATAGTAAGCTAAATAAAGTGGGAATAAAACACTGACTGGATGTTTCTACCACACGTTTTGTCTTTTCACCCAGCCTACAAGTCCTTATTATCAGTTGTGGGTCCCTGGCAATGACTGTTGGGTACAAACTGCGAAGCTCTGTTCTGAAGGTAGGGCTGGGCTTTTCATTGACCGTGTGGGTTGAGTAGTTGTGTGGGCAAAGTGTTGTCTCAGCCACTATGTTTTCTGCAATTGTGAGTTGGAAGCACCTTGATAGCTCAGTTGGTAGAGCACAGGACTGTATGAAGTGCTGTCATTCCAAGATCGCTGGTTCAACTCCCGCTCGAAGCACCTACATTTCATTGGTGTGAGCAATGTTCTGGGTCTATTCACATTGAAATAATGCCAAGCCTTGTCCTCATCTTTCAGCTCCTCCAAAATGTAAAAACACAAACAAGATAACACTTAATTACTTTTCCAACCATCAATTTTTTTATTCACACAGCCTACAAGTCCTTATTATCAGTTCTGGGTCCCTGGCAATGACTATTGGGTACAATCTGCGAAGCTCTGGTCTGAAGGTAGGGCTGGGCTTTTCATTGACCGTGTGGGTTGAGTAGTTGTGTGGGCAAAGTGTTGTCTCAGCCACTATGTTTTCTGCAGTTGTGAGTTAGAAGCACCTTGATACCTCAGTTGGTAGAGCACAGGACTGTATTAAGTGCTGTCATTCCAAGTTTCCTGGTTCAACTCCCGCTTGAAGCACCTACATTTCATTGGTCTGAGCAATCTTCTGGGTCTAATCACATTGAAATAATACCAAACCTTGTCCTCATCTGTCAGCTCCTCCAAAATCTAAAAACACAAACAAGATAACACTTAATTACTTTTCCAACCATCAATTTTTTTATTCACCCAGCCTACAAGTCCTTATAATCAGTTGTGGGTCCCTGGCAATAACTGTTGGGTACAAACTGCGAAGCTCTGTTGTGAAGGTAGGGCTGGGCTTTTCATTGACCGTGTGGGTTGAGTAGTTCTGTGGGCAAAGTGTTGTCTCAGCCACTATGTTTTCTGCAGTTGTGAGTTGGAAGCACCTTGAAAGCTCAGTTAGTAGAGCACAGGACTTTATGAAGTGCTATCATTCCAAGGTTGCTAGTTCAAATCCCCCTCCAAGCACCTAAATTTTAATGGGTGTGAGCAATGTTCTGGGTCTATTCACATTGAAATAATGCCAAGCCTTGTCCTCATCTTTCAGCTCCTCCAAAATGTAAAAACACAAACAAGATAACACTTAATTACTTTTCCAACCATCAATTTTTTTATTCACCCAGCCTACAAGTCCTTATTATCAGTTGTGGGTCCCTGGCAATGACTGTTGGGTACAAACTGCGAAGCTCTGTTCTGAAGGTAGGGCTGGGCTTTTCATTGACCGTGTGGGTTGAGTAGTTGTGTGGGCAAAGTGTTGTCTCAGCCACTATGTTTTCTGCAGTTGTGAGTTGGAAGCACCTTGATAGCTCAGTTGGTAGAGCACAAGACTGTAAGAAGGTATTGAAACGCTGTGGTCCAAAGGTCGCTGGTTCAACTCCACCTCCAAACACCAGATTTCATTGGTGTATGCACTGTTGAACCTTTTTCATCGACCATGTGGGTCCAATAGTTATTTTGGCAAAGTGTGTCGCCGAAGCCACTATGTTTTCTGCGTTTCTGTCTATAAGCACCTTCATAGCTCAGTTGGTAGAGCAGAGGACTGTAAGAAGTACCTGAAACGCTGTGGTCCAAAGGTCTCTGGTTCAACTCCTGCTCCAAGCACCAGATTTCATTAGTATATTCACTGTTCAACCTTTTTCATCGACCAGGTGGCTTGATTGTTGTGTTGGCAAAGTTTGTCGCCGAAGCCACTATGTTTTCTGCGTTTGTGTCTATAAGGACCTTCATAGCTCAGTTGGTAGAGCAGAGGACTGTAAGAAGTTCCTGAAATGCTGTGGTCCAAAGGTCGCTGGTATAACTCCAGCTCCAAACACCAGATTTCACTGGTGTATGCACTGTTCAACCTTTTTCATTGAACAGGTGGCTTGATTGTTATGTTGGCAAAGTGTGTCGCTGAAGCCACTATGTTTTCTGCTTTTCTATCTATAAGGCACCTTCATAGCTCAGTTGGTGGAGCAGAGGACTGTAAGAAGTTCCTGAAACGCTGTGGTGCAAAGATCGGTGGTTCAACTCCACCTCAAAACACCACATTTCATTGGTGTATGCACTGTTCAACCTTTTTCATCGACCATGTGGGTCCAATAGTTATGTTGGCAAAGTGTGTCGCCGAAGCCACTATGTTTTCTGCGTTTGTGTCTATAAGCACCTTCATAGCTCAGTTGGTAGAGCACATGACTTTAAGAAGTTCCTGAAAGGCTGTGGTCCAAAGGGCGCTGGTTCAACTCCTGCTCCAAACACCAGATTTCATTGGTCTATGCACTGTTCAATCTTTTTCATTGACCATGTGGGTCCAATTGTATTGTTGGCAAAATCTGTCGCCGAAGCCACTATGTTTTCTGCGTTTGTGTCTATAAGCACCTTCATAGCTCAGTTGGTAGAGCACATGACTTTAAGAACTTCCTGAAAGGCTGTGGTCCAAAGGTCGCTGGTTCAACTCCTGCTCCAAACACCAGATTTCATTGGTCTATGCACTGTTCAATCTTTTTCATTGACCATGTGGGTCCAATTGTATTGTTGGCAAAGTCTGTCGCCGAAGCCACTATGTTTTCTGCGTTTGTGTCTATAAGCACCTTCATAGCTCAGTTGGTAGAGCACATGACTTTAAGAAGTTCCTGAAAGGCTGTGGTCCAAAGGTCGCTGGTTCAACTCCACCTCAAAACACCAGATTTCATTGGTCTATGCACTGTTCAATCTTTTTCATTGACCATGTGGGTCCAATTGTATTGTTGGCAAAGTCTGTCGCCGAAGCCACTATGTTTTCTGCGTTTGTGTCTATAAGCACCTTCATAGCTCAGTTGGTAGAGCACATGACTTTAAGAAGTTCCTGAAAGGCTGTGGTCCAAAGGTCGCTGGTTCAACTCCTGCTCCAAACACCAGATTTCATTGGTCTATGCACTGTTCAATCTTTTTCATTGACCATGTGGGTCCAATTGTATTGTTGGCAAAGTCTGTCGCCGAAGCCACTATGTTTTCTGCGTTTGTGTCTATAAGCACCTTCATAGCTCAGTTGGTAGAGCACATGACTTTAAGAAGTTCCTGAAAGGCTGTGGTCCAAAGGTCGCTGGTTCAACTCCTGCTCCAAACACCAGATTTCATTGGTCTATGCACTGTTCAATCTTTTTCATTGACCATGTGGGTCCAATTGTATTGTTGGCAAAGTCTGTCGCCGAAGCCACTATGTTTTCTGCGTTTGTCTCTATAAGCACCTTCATAGCTCAGTTGGTAGAGCACATGACTTTAAGAAGTTCCTGAAAGGCTGTGGTCCAAAGGTCGCTGGTTCAACTCCTGCTCCAAACACCAGATGTCATTGGTCTATGCACTGTTCAATCTTTTTCATTGACCATGTGGGTCCAGTTGTATTGTTGGCAAAGTCTGTCGCCGAAGCCACTATGTTTTCTGCGTTTGTGTCTATAAGCACCTTCATAGCTCAGTTGGTAGAGCACATGACTTTAAGAAGTTCCTGAAAGGCTGTGTTCCAAAGGTCGCTGGTTCAACTCCTGCTCCAAACACCAGATTTCATTGGTCTATGCACTGTTCAATCTTTTTCATTGACCATGTGGGTCCAATTGTATTGTTGGCAAAGTCTGTCGCCGAAGCCACTATGTTTTCTGCGTTTGTGTCTATAAGCACCTTCATAGCTCAGTTGGTAGAGCACATGACTTTAAGAAGTTCCTGAAAGGCTGTGGTCCAAAGGTCGCTGGTTCAACTCCTGCTCCAAACACCAGATTTCATTGGTCTATGCACTGTTCAATCTTTTTCATTGACCATGTGGGTCCAATTGTATTGTTGGCAAAATCTGTCGCCGAAGCCACTATGTTTTCTGCGTTTGTGTCTATAAGCACCTTCATAGCTCAGTTGGTAGAGCACATGACTTTAAGAAGTTCCTGAAAGGCTGTGGTCCAAAGGTCGCTGGTTCAACTCCTGCTCCAAACACCAGATTTCATTGGTCTATGCACTGTTCAATCTTTTTCATTGACCATGTGGGTCCAATTGTATTGTTGGCAAAGTCTGTCGCCGAAGCCACTATGTTTTCTGCGTTTGTGTCTATAAGCACCTTCATAGCTCAGTTGGTAGAGCACATGACTTTAAGAAGTTCCTGAAAGGCTGTGGTCCAAAGGTCGCTGGTTCAACTCCTGCTCCAAACACCAGATTTCATTGGTCTATGCACTGTTCAATCTTTTTCATCGACCATGTGGGTCCAATTGTATTGTTGGCAAAGTCTGTCGCCGAAGCCACTATGTTTTCTGCGTTTGTGTCTATAAGCACCTTCATAGCTCAGTTGGTAGAGCACATGACTTTAAGAAGTTCCTGAAAGGCTGTTGTCCAAAGGTCGCTGGTTCAACTCCTGCTCCAAACACCAGATTTCATTGGTGTATGCACTGTTCAACATTTTTCATTGACCATGTGGGTCCAATAGTTATGTTGGCAAAGTGTGTCGCCGAAGCCACTATGTTTTCTGCGTTTCTGTTTATAAGCACCTTCATAGTTTAGTTGGTAGAGCACATGACTTTAAGAAGTTCCTGAAAGGCTGTGGTCCAAAGGTTGCTGGTTCAACTCCTGCTCCAAACACCAGATTTCATTGGTCTATGCACTGTTCAATCTTTTTCATTGACCATGTGGGTCCAATTGTATTGTTGGCAAAGTCTGTCGCCGAAGCCACTATGTTTTCTGCGTTTGTGTCTATAAGCACCTTCATAGCTCAGTTGGTAGAGCACATGACTTTAAGAAGTTCCTGAAAGGCTGTGGTCCAAAGGTCGCTGGTTCAACTCCTGCTCCAAACACCAGATTTCATTGGTCTATGCACTGTTCAATCTTTTTCATTGACCATGTGGGTCCAATTGTATTGTTGGCAAAGTCTGTCGCCGAAGCCACTATGTTTTCTGCGTTTGTGTCTATAAGCACCTTCATAGCTCAGTTGGTAGAGCACATGACTTTAAGAAGTTCCTGAAAGGCTGTGGTCCAAAGGTCGCTGGTTCGACTCCTGCTCCAAACACCAGATTTCATTGGTCTATGCACTGTTCAATCTTTTTCATTGACCATGTGGGTCCAATTGTATTGTTGGCAAAGTCTGTCGCCGAAGCCACTATGTTTTCTGCGTTTGTGTCTATAAGCACCTTCATAGCTCAGTTGGTAGAGCACATGACTTTAAGAAGTTCCTGAAAGGCTGTGGTCCAAAGGTCGCTGGTTCAACTCCTGCTCCAAACACCAGATGTCATTGGTGTATGCACCGTTCAATCTTTTTCATCGACCATGTGGGTCCAATAGTTATGTTGGCAAAGTGTGTCGCCGAAGCCACTATGTTTTCTGCGTTTGTTTTTATAAGCACCTTCATAGCTCAGTTGGTAGAGCACATGACTTTAAGAAGTTCCTGAAAGGCTGTGGTCCAAAGGTCACTGGTTCAACTCCTGCTCCAAACACCAGATTTCATTGGTCTATGCACTGTTCAATCTTTTTCATTGACCATGTGGGTCCAATTGTATTGTTGGCAAAGTCTGTCGCCGAAGCCACTATGTTTTCTGCGTTTGTGTCTATAAGCACCTTCATAGCTCAGTTGGTAGAGCACATGACTTTAAGAAGTTCCTGAAACGCTGTGGTCCAAAGGTCGCTGGTTCAACTCCTGCTCCAAACACCAGATTTCATTGGTCTATGCACTGTTCAATCTTTTTCATTGACCATGTGGGTCCAATTGTATTGTTGGCAAAGTCTGTCGCCGAAGCCACTATGTTTTCTGCGTTTGTGTCTATAAGCACCTTCATAGCTCAGTTGGTAGAGCACATGACTTTAAGAAGTTCCTGAAAGGCTGTGGTCCAAAGGTCGCTGGTTCAACTCCTACTCCAAACACCAGATTTCATTGGTCTATGCACTGTTCAATCTTTTTCATTGACCATGTGGGTCCAATTGTATTGTTGGCAAAGTCTGTCGCCGAAGCCACTATGTTTTCTGCGTTTGTGTCTATAAGCACCTTAATAGCTCAGTTGGTAGAGCACATGACTTTAAGAAGTTCCTGAAAGGCTGTGGTCCAAAGGTCGCTGGTTCAACTCCTGCTCCAAACACCAGATTTCATTGGTCTATGCACTGTTCAATCTTTTTCATTGACCATGTGGGTCCAATTGTATTGTTGGCAAAGTCTGTCGCCGAAGCCACTATGTTTTCTGCGTTTGTGTCTATAAGCACCTTCATAGCTCAGTTGGTACAGCACATGACTTTAAGAAGTTCCTGAAAGGCTGTGGTCCAAAGGTCGCTGGTTCAACTCCTGCTCCAAACACCAGATTTCATTGGTGTATGCACTGTTCAACCTTTTTCATCGACCATGTGGGTCCAATAGTTATGTTGGCAAAGTGTGTCGCCGAAGCCACTATGTTTTCTGCGTTTGTGTCTATAAGCACCTTCATACCTCAGTTGGTAGAGCACATGACTTTAAGAAGTTCCTGAAAGGCTGTGGTCCAAAGGTCGCTGGTTCAACTCCTGCTCCAAACACCAGATTTCATTGGTCTATGCACTGTTCAATCTTTTTCATTGACCATGTGGGTCCAATTGTATTGTTGGCAAAGTCTGTCGCCGAAGCCACTATGTTTTCTGCGTTTGTGTCTATAAGCACCTTCATAGCTCAGTTGGTAGAGCACATGACTTTAAGAAGTTCCTGAAAGGCTGTGGTCCAAAGGTCGCTGGTTCAACTCCTACTCCAAACACCACATTTCATTGGTCTATGCACTGTTCAATCTTTTTCATTGACCATGTGGGTCCAATTGTATTGTTGGCAAAGTCTGTCGCCGAAGCCACTATGTTTTCTGCGTTTGTGTCTATAAGCACCTTCATAGCTCAGTTGGTAGAGCACATGACTTTAAGAAGTTCCTGAAAGGCTGTGGTCCAAAGGTCGCTGGTTCAACTCCTGCTCCAAACACCAGATTTCATTGGTCTATGCACTGTTCAATCTTTTTCATTGACCATGTGGGTCCAATTGTATTGTTGGCAAAGTCTGTCGCCGAAGCCACTATGTTTTCTGCGTTTGTGTCTATAAGCACCTTCATAGCTCAGTTGGTAGAGCACATGACTTTAAGAAGTTCCTGAAACGCTGTGGTCCAAAGGTCGCTGGTTCAACTCCTACTCCAAACACCAGATTTCATTGGTCTATGCACTGTTCAATCTTTTTCATTGACCATGTGGGTCCAATTGTATTGTTGGCAAAGTGTGTCGCCGAAGCCACTATGTTTTCTGCGTTTGTGTCTATAAGCACCTTCATAGCTCAGTTGGTAGAGCACATGACTTTAAGAAGTTCCTGAAAGGCTGTGGTCCAAAGGTCGCTGGTTCAACTCCTGTTCCAAACACCAGATTTCATTGGTCTATTGCACTGTTCAATCTTTTTCATTGACCATGTGGGTCCAATAGTATTGTTGGCAAAGTCTGTCGCCGAAGCCACTATGTTTTCTGCGTTTGTGTCTATAAGCACCTTCATAGCTCAGTTGGTAGAGCACATGACTTTAAGAAGTTCCTGAAAGGCTGTGGTCCAAAGGTCGCTGGTTCAACTCCTGCTCCAAACACCAGATTTCATTGGTCTATGCACTGTTCAATCTTTTTCATTGACCATGTGGGTCCAATAGTTATGTTGGCAAAGTGTGTCGCCGAAGCCACTATGTTTTCTGCGTTTGTGTCTATAAGCACCTTCATAGCTCAGTTGGTAGAGCACATGACTTTAAGAAGTTCCTGAAAGGCTGTGGTCCAAAGGTCGCTGGTTCAACTCCTGCTCCAAACACCAGATTTCATTGGTCTATGCACTGTTCAATCTTTTTCATTGACCATGTGGGTCCAATAGTATTGTTGGCAAAATCTGTCGCCGAAGCCACTATGTTTTCTGCGTTTGTGTCTGTAAGCACCTTCATAGCTCAGTTGGTAGAGCACATGACTTTAAGAAGTTCCTGAAAGGCTGTGGTCCAAAGGTCGCTGGTTCAACTCCTGCTCCAAACACCAGATTTCATTGGTGTATGCACTGTTCAACCTTTTTCATTGACCATGTGGGTCCAATAGTTATGTTGGCAAAGTGTGTCGCCGAAGCCACTATGTTTTCTGCGTTTGTGTCTATAAGCACCTTCATAGCTCAGTTGGTAGAGCACATGACTTTAAGAAGTTCCTGAAAGGCTGTCGTCCAAAGGTCGCTGGTTCAACTCCTGCTCCAAACACCAGATTTTATTGGTCTATGCACTGTTCAATCTTTTTCATTGACCATGTGGGTCCAATTGTATTGTTGGCAAAGTCTGTCGCCGAAGCCACTATGTTTTCTGCGTTTGTGTCTATAAGCACCTTCATAGCTCAGTTGGTAGAGCACATGACTTTAAGAAGTTCCTGAAAGGCTGTGGTCCAAAGGTCGCTGGTTCAACTCCTGCTCCAAACACCAGATTTCATTGGTCTATGCACTGTTCAATCTTTTTCATTGACCATGTGGGTCCAATTGTATTGTTGGCAAAGTCTGTCGCCGAAGCCACTATGTTTTCTGCGTTTGTGTCTATAAGCACCTTCATAGCTCAGTTGGTAGAGCACATGACTTTAAGAAGTTCCTGAAAGGCTGTGGTCCAAAGGTCGCTGGTTCAACTCCACCTCAAAACACCAGATTTCATTGGTCTATGCACTGTTCAATCTTTTTCATTGACCATGTGGGTCCAATAGTATTGTTGGCAAAGTCTGTCGCCGAAGCCACTATGTTTTCTGCGTTTGTGTCTATAAGCACCTTCATAGCTCAGTTGGTAGAGCACATGACTTTAAGAAGTTCCTGAAAGGCTTTGGTCCAAAGGTCGCTGGTTCAACTCCTGCTCCAAACACCAGATTTCATTGGTCTATGCACTGTTCAATCTTTTTCATTGACCATGTGGGTCCAATAGTATTGTTGGCAAAATCTGTCGCCGAAGCCACTATGTTTTCTGCGTTTCTGTCTATAAGCACCTTCATAGCTCAGTTGGTAGAGCACATGACTTTAAGAAGTTCCTGAAAGGCTGTGGTCCAAAGGTCGCTGGTTCAACTCCACCTCCAAACACCAGATTTCATTGGTCTATGCACTGTTCAATCTTTTTCATTGACCATGTGGGTCCAATAGTATTGTTGGCAAAGTCTGTCGCCGAAGCCACTATGTTTTCTGCGTTTGTGTCTATAAGCACCTTCATAGCTCAGTTGGTAGAGCACATGACTTTAAGAAGTTCCTGAAAGGCTGTGGTCCAAAGGTCGCTGGTTCAACTCCACCTCAAAACACCAGATTTCATTGGTCTATGCACTGTTCAATCTTTTTCATTGACCATGTGGGTCCAATTGTATTGTTGGCAAAGTCTGTCGCCGAAGCCACTATGTTTTCTGCGTTTGTGTCTATAAGCACCTTCATAGCTCAGTTGGTAGAGCACATGACTTTAAGAAGTTCCTGAAAGGCTGTGGTCCAAAGGTCGCTGGTTCAACTCCTGCTCCAAACACCAGATTTCATTGGTCTATGCACTGTTCAATCTTTTTCATTGACCATGTGGGTCCAATAGTATTGTTGGCAAAGTCTGTCGCCGAAGCCACTATGTTTTCTGCGTTTGTGTCTATAAGCACCTTCATAGCTCAGTTGGTAGAGCACATGACTTTAAGAAGTTCCTGAAAGGCTTTGGTCCAAAGGTCGCTGGTTCAACTCCTGCTCCAAACACCAGATTTAATTGGTCTATGCACTGTTCAATCTTTTTCATTGACCATGTGGGTCCAATAGTATTGTTGGCAAAATCTGTCGCCGAAGCCACTATGTTTTCTGCGTTTCTGTCTATAAGCACCTTCATAGCTCAGTTGGTAGAGCACATGACTTTAAGAAGTTCCTGAAAGGCTGTGGTCCAAAGGTCGCTGGTTCAACTCCTGCTCCAAACACCAGATTTCATTGGTCTATCCACTGTTCAATCTTTTTCATTGACCATGTGGGTCCAATTGTATTGTTGGCAAAGTGTGTCGCCGAAGCCACTATGTTTTCTGCGTTTGTGTCTATAAGCACCTTCATAGCTCAGTTGGTAGAGCACATGACTTTAAGAAGTTCCTGAAAGGCTGTGGTCCAAAGGTCGCTGGTTCAACTCCTGCTCCAAACACCAGATTTCATTGGTCTATGCACTGTTCAATCTTTTTCATTGACCATGTGGGTCCAATTGTATTGTTGGCAAAGTCTGTCGCCGAAGCCACTATGTTTTCTGCGTTTGTGTCTATAAGCACCTTCATAGCTCAGTTGGTAGAGCACATGACTTTAAGAAGTTCCTGAAAGGCTGTGGTCCAAAGGTCGCTGGTTCAACTCCTGCTCCAAACACCAGATTTCATTGGTCTATGCACTGTTCAATCTTTTTCATTGACCATGTGGGTCCAATTGTATTGTTGGCAAAGTCTGTCGCCGAAGCCACTATGTTTTCTGCGTTTGTGTCTATAAGCACCTTCATAGCTCAGTTGGTAGAGCACATGACTTTAAGAAGTTCCTGAAAGGCTGTGGTCCAAAGGTCGCTGGTTCAACTCCACCTCAAAACACCAGATTTCATTGGTCTATGCACTGTTCAATCTTTTTCATTGACCATGTGGGTCCAATTGTATTGTTGGCAAAGTCTGTCGCCGAAGCCACTATGTTTTCTGCGTTTGTGTCTATAAGCACCTTCATAGCTCAGTTGGTAGAGCACATGACTTTAAGAAGTTCCTGAAAGGCTGTGGTCCAAAGGTCGCTGGTTCAACTCCTACTCCAAACACCAGATTTCATTGGTCTATGCACTGTTCAATCTTTTTCATTGACCATGTGGGTCCAATTGTATTGTTGGCAAAGTCTGTCGCCGAAGCCACTATGTTTTCTGCGTTTGTGTCTATAAGCACCTTCATAGCTCAGTTGGTAGAGCACATGACTTTAAGAAGTTCCTGAAAGGCTGTGGTCCAAAGGTCGCTGGTTCAAGTCCACCTCAAAACACCAGATTTCATTGGTCTATGCACTGTTCAATCTTTTTCATTGACCATGTGGGTCCAATTGTATTGTTGGCAAAGTGTGTCGCCGAAGCCACTATGTTTTCTGCGTTTGTGTCTATAAGCACCTTCATAGCTCAGTTGGTAGAGCACATGACTTTAAGAAGTTCCTGAAAGGCTGTGGTCCAAACGTCGCTGGTTCAACTCCTGTTCCAAACACCAGATTTCATTGGTCTATGCACTGTTCAATCTTTTTCATTGACCATGTGGGTCCAATAGTATTGTTGGCAAAGTCTGTCGCCGAAGCCACTATGTTTTCTGCGTTTGTGTCTATAAGCACCTTCATAGCTCAGTTGGTAGAGCACATGACTTTAAGAAGTTCCTGAAAGGCTGTGGTCCAAAGGTAGCTGGTTCAACTCCTGCTCCAAACACCAGATTTCATTGGTCTATGCACTGTTCAATCTTTTTCATTGACCATGTGGGTCCAATTGTATTGTTGGCAAAGTCTGTCGCCGAAGCCACTATGTTTTCTGTGTTTGTGTCTATAAGCACCTTCATAGCTCAGTTGGTAGAGCACATGACTTTAAGAAGTTCCTGAAAGGCTGTGGTCCAAAGGTCGCTGGTTCAACTCCTGCTCCAAACACCAGATTTCATTGGTCTATGCACTGTTCAATCTTTTTCATTGACCATGTGGGTCCAATAGTTATGTTGGCAAAGTGTGTCGCCGAAGCCACTATGTTTTCTGCGTTTGTGTCTATAAGCACCTTCATAGCTCAGTTGGTAGAGCACATGACTTTAAGAAGTTCCTGAAAGGCTGTGGTCCAAAGGTCGCTGGTTCAACTCCTGCTCCAAACACCAGATTTTATTGGTCTATGCACTGTTCAATCTTTTTCATTGACCATGTGGGTCCAATTGTATTGTTGGCAAAGTCTGTCGCCGAAGCCACTATGTTTTCTGCGTTTGTGTCTATAAGCACCTTCATAGCTCAGTTGGTAGAGCACATGACTTTAAGAAGTTCCTGGAAGGCTGTGGTCCAAAGGTCGCTGGTTCAACTCCTGCTCCAAACACCAGATTTCATTGGTCTATGCACTGTTCAATCTTTTTCATTGACCATGTGGGTCCAATAGTATTGTTGGCAAAGTGTGTCGTCGAAGCCACTATGTTTTCTGCGTTTGTGTCTATAAGCACCTTCATAGCTCAGTTGGTAGAGCACATGACTTTAAGAAGTTCCTGAAAGGCTGTGGTCCAAAGGTCGCTGGTTCAACTCCACCTCAAAACACCAGATTTCATTGGTCTATGCACTGTTCAATCTTTTTCATTGACCATGTGGGTCCAATAGTATTGTTGGCAAAGTCTGTCGCCGAAGCCACTATGTTTTCTGCGTTTGTGTCTATAAGCACCTTCATAGCTCAGTTGGAAGAGCACATGACTTTAAGAAGTTCCTGAAAGGCTTTGGTCCAAAGGTCGCTGGTTCAACTCCTGCTCCAAACACCAGATTTAATTGGTCTATGCACTGTTCAATCTTTTTCATTGACCATGTGGGTCCAATAGTATTGTTGGCAAAATCTGTCGCCGAAGCCACTATGTTTTCTGCGTTTGTGTCTATAAGCACCTTCATAGCTCAGTTGGTAGAGCACATGACTTTAAGAAGTTCCTGAAAGGCTGTGGTCCAAAGGTTGCTGGTTCAACTCCACCTCCAAACACCAGATTTCATTGGTCTATGCACTGTTCAATCTTTTTCATTGACCATGTGGGTCCAATAGTATTGTTGGCAAAGTCTGTCGCCGAAGCCACTATGTTTTCTGCGTTTGTGTCTATAAGCACCTTCATAGCTCAGTTGGTAGAGCACATGACTTTAAGAAGTTCCTGAAAGGCTGTGGTCCAAAGGTCGCTGGTTCAACTCCACCTCAAAACACCAGATTTCATTGGTCTATGCACTGTTCAATCTTTTTCATTGACCATGTGGGTCCAATTGTATTGTTGGCAAAGTCTGTCGCCGAAGCCACTATGTTTTCTGCGTTTGTGTCTATAAGCACCTTCATAGCTCAGTTGGTAGAGCACATGACTTTAAGAAGTTCCTGAAAGGCTGTGGTCCAAAGGTCGCTGGTTCAACTCCTGCTCCAAACACCAGATTTCATTGGTCTATGCACTGTTCAATCTTTTTCATTGACCATGTGGGTCCAATAGTATTGTTGGCAAAGTCTGTCGCCGAAGCCACTATGTTTTCTGCGTTTGTGTCTATAAGCACCTTCATAGCTCAGTTGGTAGAGCACATGACTTTAAGAAGTTCCTGAAAGGCTTTGGTCCAAAGGTCGCTGGTTCAACTCCTGCTCCAAACACCAGATTTCATTGGTCTATGCACTGTTCAATCTTTTTCATTGACCATGTGGGTCCAATAGTATTGTTGGCAAAATCTGTCGCCGAAGCCACTATGTTTTCTGCGTTTGTGTCTATAAGCACCTTCATAGCTCAGTTGGTAGAGCACATGACTTTAAGAAGTTCCTGAAAGGCTGTGGTCCAAAGGTCGCTGGTTCAACTCCTGCTCCAAACACCAGATTTCATTGGTCTATGCACTGTTCAATCTTTTTCATTGACCATGTGGGTCCAATTGTATTGTTGGCAAAGTGTGTCGCCGAAGCCACTATGTTTTCTGCGTTTGTGTCTATAAGCACCTTCATAGCTCAGTTGGTAGAGCACATGACTTTAAGAAGTTCCTGAAAGGCTGTGGTCCAAAGGTCGCTGGTTCAACTCCTGCTCCAAACACCAGATTTCATTGGTCTATGCACTGTTCAATCTTTTTCATTGACCATGTGGGTCCAATTGTATTGTTGGCAAAGTCTGTCGCCGAAGCCACTATGTTTTCTGCGTTTGTGTCTATAAGCACCTTCATAGCTCAGTTGGTAGAGCACATGACTTTAAGAAGTTCCTGAAAGGCTGTGGTCCAAAGGTAGCTGGTTCAACTCCTGCTCCAAACACCAGATTTCATTGGTCTATGCACTGTTCAATCTTTTTCATTGACCATGTGGGTCCAATTGTATTGTTGGCAAAGTCTGTCGCCGAAGCCACTATGTTTTCTGCGTTTGTGTCTATAAGCACCTTCATAGCTCAGTTGGTAGAGCACATGACTTTAAGAAGTTCCTGAAAGGCTGTGGTCCAAAGGTCGCTGGTTCAACTCCACCTCAAAACACCAGATTTCATTGGTCTATGCACTGTTCAAACTTTTTCATTGACCATGTGGGTCCAATTGTATTGTTGGCAAAGTCTGTCGCCGAAGCCACTATGTTTTCTGCGTTTGTGTCTATAAGCACCTTCATAGCTCAGTTGGTAGAGCACATGACTTTAAGAAGTTCCTGAAAGGCTGTGGTCCAAAGGTCGCTGGTTCAACTCCTACTCCAAACACCAGATTTCATTGGTCTATGCACTGTTCAATCTTTTTCATTGACCATGTGGGTCCAATTGTATTGTTGGCAAAGTGTGTCGCCGAAGCCACTATGTTTTCTGCGTTTGTGTCTATAAGCACCTTCATAGCTCAGTTGGTAGAGCACATGACTTTAAGAAGTTCCTGAAAGGCTGTGGTCCAAAGGTCGCTGGTTCAAGTCCACCTCAAAACACCAGATTTCATTGGTCTATGCACTGTTCAATCTTTTTCATTGACCATGTGGGTCCAATTGTATTGTTGGCAAAGTGTGTCGCCGAAGCCACTATGTTTTCTGCGTTTGTGTCTATAAGCACCTTCATAGCTCAGTTGGTAGAGCACATGACTTTAAGAAGTTCCTGAAAGGCTGTGGTCCAAAGGTCGCTGGTTCAACTCCTGTTCCAAACACCAGATTTCATTGGTCTATGCACTGTTCAATCTTTTTCATTGACCATGTGGGTCCAATAGTATTGTTGGCAAAGTCTGTCGCCGAAGCCACTATGTTTTCTGCGTTTGTGTCTATAAGCACCTTCATAGCTCAGTTGGTAGAGCACATGACTTTAAGAAGTTCCTGAAAGGCTGTGGTCCAAAGGTAGCTGGTTCAACTCCTGCTCCAAACACCAAATTTCATTGGTCTATGCACTGTTCAATCTTTTTCATTGACCATGTGGGTCCAATTGTATTGTTGGCAAAGTCTGTCGCCGAAGCCACTATGTTTTCTGCGTTTGTGTCTATAAGCACCTTCATAGCTCAGTTGGTAGAGCACATGACTTTAAGAAGTTCCTGAAAGGCTGTGGTCCAAAGGTCGCTGGTTCAACTCCTGCTCCAAACACCAGATTTCATTGGTCTATACACTGTTCAATCTTTTTCATTGACCATGTGGGTCCAATAGTATTGTTGGCAAAATCTGTCGCCGAAGCCACTATGTTTTCTGCGTTTGTGTCTATAAGCACCTTCATAGCTCAGTTGGTAGAGCACATGACTTTAAGAAGTTCCTGAAAGGCTGTGGTCCAAAGGTCGCTGGTTCAACTCCTACTCCAAACACCACATTTCATTGGTCTATGCACTGTTCAATCTTTTTCATTGACCATGTGGGTCCAATTGTATTGTTGGCAAAGTCTGTCGCCGAAGCCACTATGTTTTCTGCGTTTGTGTCTATAAGCACCTTCATAGCTCAGTTGGTAGAGCACATGACTTTAAGAAGTTCCTGAAAGGCTGTGGTCCAAAGGTCGCTGGTTCAACTCCTGCTCCAAACACCAGATTTCATTGGTCTATGCACTGTTCAATCTTTTTCATTGACCATGTGGGTCCAATTGTATTGTTGGCAAAGTCTGTCGCCGAAGCCACTATGTTTTCTGCGTTTGTGTCTATAAGCACCTTCATAGCTCAGTTGGTAGAGCACATGACTTTAAGAAGTTCCTGAAACGCTGTGGTCCAAAGGTCGCTGGTTCAACTCCTACTCCAAACACCAGATTTCATTGGTCTATGCACTGTTCAATCTTTTTCATTGACCATGTGGGTGCAATAGTTATGTTGGCAAAGTGTGTCGCCGAAGCCACTATGTTTTCTGCGTTTGTGTCTATAAGCACCTTCATAGCTCAGTTGGTAGAGCACATGACTTTAAGAAGTTCCTGAAAGGCTGTGGTCCAAAGGTCGCTGGTTCAACTCCTGCTCCAAACACCAGATTTCATTGGTCTATGCACTGTTCAATCTTTTTCATTGACCATGTGGGTCCAATAGTTATGTTGGCAAAGTGTGTCGCCGAAGCCACTATGTTTTCTGCGTTTGTGTCTATAAGCACCTTCATAGCTCAGTTGGTAGAGCACATGACTTTAAGAAGTTCCTGAAAGGCTGTGGTCCAAAGGTCGCTGGTTCAACTCCTGCTCCAAACACCAGATTTCATTGGTCTATGCACTGTTCAATCTTTTTCATTGACCATGTGGGTCCAATAGTATTGTTGGCAAAATCTGTCGCCGAAGCCACTATGTTTTCTGCGTTTGTGTCTGTAAGCACCTTCATAGCTCAGTTGGTAGAGCACATGACTTTAAGAAGTTCCTGAAAGGCTGTGGTCCAAAGGTCGCTGGTTCAACTCCTGCTCCAAACACCAGATTTCATTGGTGTATTCACTGTTCAACCTTTTTCATCGACCATGTGGGTCCAATAGTATTGTTGGCAAAGTGTGTCGCCGAAGCCACTATGTTTTCTGCGTTTGTGTCTATAAGCACCTTCATAGCTCAGTTGGTAGAGCACATGACTTTAAGAAGTTCCTGAAACGCTGTCGTCCAAAGGTCGCTGGTTCAACTCCTGCTCCAAACACCAGATTTTATTGGTCTATGCACTGTTCAATCTTTTTCATTGACCATGTGGGTCCAATTGTATTGTTGGCAAAGTCTGTCGCCGAAGCCACTATGTTTTCTGCGTTTGTGTCTATAAGCACCTTCATAGCTCAGTTGGTAGAGCACATGACTTTAAGAAGTTCCTGAAAGGCTGTGGTCCAAAGGTCGCTGGTTCAACTCCTGCTCCAAACACCAAATTTCATTGGTCTATGCACTGTTCAATCTTTTTCATTGACCATGTGGGTCCAATTGTATTGTTGGCAAAGTCTGTCGCCGAAGCCACTATGTTTTCTGCGTTTGTGTCTATAAGCACCTTCATAGCTCAGTTGGTAGAGCACATGACTTTAAGAAGTTCCTGAAAGGCTGTGGTCCAAAGGTCGCTGGTTCAACTCCTGCTCCAAACACCAGATTTCATTGGTCTATGCACTGTTCAATCTTTTTCATTGACCATGTGGGTCCAATAGTATTGTTGGCAAAATCTGTCGCCGAAGCCACTATGTTTTCTGCGTTTTTGTCTATAAGCACCTTCATAGCTCAGTTGGTAGAGCACATGACTTTAAGAAGTTCCTGAAAGGCTGTGGTCCAAAGGTCGCTGGTTCAACTCCTGCTCCAAACACCAGATTTCATTGGTCTATGCACTGTTCAATCTTTTTCATTGACCATGTGGGTCCAATAGTATTGTTGGCAAAGTCTGTCGCCGAAGCCACTATGTTTTCTGCGTTTGTGTCTATAAGCACCTTCATAGCTCAGTTGGTAGAGCACATGACTTTAAGAAGTTCCTGAAAGGCTGTGGTCCAAAGGTCGCTGGTTCAACTCCACCTCAAAACACCAGATTTCATTGGTCTATGCACTGTTCAATCTTTTTCATTGACCATGTGGGTCCAATAGTATTGTTGGCAAAGTCTGTCGCCGAAGCCACTATGTTTTCTGCGTTTGTGTCTATAAGCACCTTCATAGCTCAGTTGGTAGAGCACATGACTTTAAGAAGTTCCTGAAAGGCTTTGGTCCAAAGGTCGCTGGTTCAACTCCTGCTCCAAACACCAGATTTAATTGGTCTATGCACTGTTCAATCTTTTTCATTGACCATGTGGGTCCAATAGTATTGTTGGCAAAATCTGTCGCCGAAGCCACTATGTTTTCTGCGTTTGTGTCTATAAGCACCTTCATAGCTCAGTTGGTAGAGCAGATGACTTTAAGAAGTTCCTTAAAGGCTCTGGTCCAAAGGTTGCTGGTTCAACTCCACCTCCAAACACCAGATTTCATTGGTCTATGCACTGTTCAATCTTTTTCATTGACCATGTGGGTCCAATAGTATTGTTGGCAAAGTCTGTCGCCGAAGCCACTATGTTTTCTGCGTTTGTGTCTATAAGCACCTTCATAGCTCAGTTGGTAGAGCACATGACTTTAAGAAGTTCCTGAAAGGCTGTGGTCCAAAGGTCGCTGGTTCAACTCCACCTCAAAACACCAGATTTCATTGGTCTATGCACTGTTCAATCTTTTTCATTGACCATGTGGGTCCAATAGTATTGTTGGCAAAGTCTGTCGCCGAAGCCACTATGTTTTCTGCGTTTGTGTCTATAAGCACCTTCATAGCTCAGTTGGTAGAGCACATGACTTTAAGAAGTTCCTGAAAGGCTGTGGTCCAAAGGTCGCTGGTTCAACTCCTGCTCCAAACACCAGATTTCATTGGTCTATGCACTGTTCAATCTTTTTCATTGACCATGTGGGTCCAATAGTATTGTTGGCAAAGTCTGTCGCCGAAGCCACTATGTTTTCTGCGTTTGTGTCTATAAGCACCTTCATAGCTCAGTTGGTAGAGCACATGACTTTAAGAAGTTCCTGAAAGGCTGTCGTCCAAAGGTCGCTAGTTCAACTCCTGCTCCAAACACCAGATTTCATTGGTCTATCCACTGTTCAATCTTTTTCATTGACCATGTGGGTCCAATTGTATTGTTGGCAAAGTGTGTCGCCGAAGCCACTATGTTTTCTGCGTTTGTGTCTATAAGCACCTTCATAGCTCAGTTGGTAGAGCACATGACTTTAAGAAGTTCCTGAAAGGCTGTGGTCCAAAGGTCGCTGGTTCAACTCCTGCTCCAAACACCAGATTTCATTGGTCTATCCACTGTTCAATCTTTTTCATTGACCATGTGGGTCCAATTGTATTGTTGGCAAAGTCTGTCGCCGAAGCCACTATGTTTTCTGCGTTTGTGTCTATAAGCACCTTCATAGCTCAGTTGGTAGAGCACATGACTTTAAGAAGTTCCTGAAAGGCTGTGGTCCAAAGGTCGCTGGTTCAACTCCTGCTCCAAACACCAGATTTCATTGGTCTATCCACTGTTCAATCTTTTTCATTGACCATGTGGGTCCAATTGTATTGTTGGCAAAGTCTGTCGCCGAAGCCACTATGTTTTCTGCGTTTGTGTCTATAAGCACCTTCATAGCTCAGTTGGTAGAGCACATGACTTTAAGAAGTTCCTGAAAGGCTGTGGTCCAAAGGTCGCTGGTTCAACTCCACCTCAAAACACCAGATTTCATTGGTCTATGCACTGTTCAATCTTTTTCATTGACCATGTGGGTCCAATTGTATTGTTGGCAAAGTCTGTCGCCGAAGCCACTATGTTTTCTGCGTTTGTGTCTATAAGCACCTTCATAGCTCAGTTGGTAGAGCACATGACTTTAAGAAGTTCCTGAAAGGCTGTGGTCCAAAGGTCGCTGGTTCAACTCCTACTCCAAACACCAGATTTCATTGGTCTATGCACTGTTCAATCTTTTTCATTGACCATGTGGGTCCAATTGTATTGTTGGCAAAGTGTGTCGCCGAAGCCACTATGTTTTCTGCGTTTGTGTCTATAAGCACCTTCATAGCTCAGTTGGTAGAGCACATGACTTTAAGAAGTTCCTGAAAGGCTGTGGTCCAAAGGTAGCTGGTTCAACTCCTGCTCCAAACACCAGATTTCATTGGTCTATGCACTGTTCAATCTTTTTCATTGACCATGTGGGTCCAATTGTATTGTTGGCAAAGTGTGTCGCCGAAGCCACTATGTTTTCTGCGTTTGCGTCTATAAGCACCTTCATAGCTCAGTTGGTAGAGCACATGACTTTAAGAAGTTCCTGAAAGGCTGTGGTCCAAAGGTCGCTGGTTCAACTCCTGTTCCAAACACCAGATTTCATTGGTCTATGCACTGTTCAATCTTTTTCATTGACCATGTGGGTCCAATAGTATTGTTGGCAAAGTCTGTCGCCGAAGCCACTATGTTTTCTGCGTTTGTGTCTATAAGCACCTTCATAGCTCAGTTGGTAGAGCACATGACTTTAAGAAGTTCCTGAAAGGCTGTGGTCCAAAGGTAGCTGGTTCAACTCCTGCTCCAAACACCAGATTTCATTGGTCTATGCACTGTTCAATCTTTTTCATTGACCATGTGGGTCCAATTGTATTGTTGGCAAAGTCTGTCGCCGAAGCCACTATGTTTTCTGCGTTTGTGTCTATAAGCACCTTCATAGCTCAGTTGGTAGAGCACATGACTTTAAGAACTTCCTGAAAGGCTGTGGTCCAAAGGTCGCTGGTTCAACTCCTGCTCCAAACACCAGATTTCATTGGTCTATGCACTGTTCAATCTTTTTCATTGACCATGTGGGTCCAATTGTATTGTTGGCAAAGTCTGTCGCCGAAGCCACTATGTTTTCTGCGTTTGTGTCTGTAAGCACCTTCATAGCTCAGTTGGTAGAGCACATGACTTTAAGAAGTTCCTGAAAGGCTGTGGTCCAAAGGTCGCTGGTTCAACTCCTGCTCCAAACACCAGATTTCATTGGTGTATGCACTGTTCAACCTTTTTCATCGACCATGTGGGTCCAATAGTATTGTTGGCAAAGTGTGTCGCCGAAGCCACTATGTTTTCTGCGTTTGTGTCTATAAGCACCTTCATAGCTCAGTTGGTAGAGCACATGACTTTAAGAAGTTCCTGAAAGGCTGTGGTCCAAAGGTCGCTGGTTCAACTCCTGCTCCAAACACCAGATTTCATTGGTCTATGCACTGTTCAATCTTTTTCATTGACTATGTGGGTCCAATAGTATTGTTGGCAAAGTCTGTCGCCGAAGCCACTATGTTTTCTGCGTTTGTGTCTATAAGCACCTTCATAGCTCAGTTGGTAGAGCACATGACTTTAAGAAGTTCCTGAAAGGCTGTGGTCCAAAGGTCGCTGGTTCAACTCCTGCTCCAAACACCAGATTTCATTGGTCTATGCACTGTTCAATCTTTTTCATTGACCATGTGGGTCCAATAGTATTGTTGGCAAAGTCTGTCGCCGAAGCCACTATGTTTTCTGCGTTTGTGTCTATAAGCACCTTCATAGCTCAGTTGGTAGAGCACATGACTTTAAGAAGTTCCTGAAAGGCTGTGGTCCAAAGGTCGCTGGTTCAACTCCTGCTCCAAACACCAGATTTCATTGGTCTATGCACTGTTCAATCTTTTTCATTGACCATGTGGGTCCAATTGTATTGTTGGCAAAGTCTGTCGCCGAAGCCACTATGTTTTCTGCGTTTGTGTCTATAAGCACCTTCATAGCTCAGTTGGTAGAGCACATGACTTTAAGAAGTTCCTGAAAGGCTGTGGTCCAAAGGTCGCTGGTTCAACTCCTGCTCCAAACACCAGATTTCATTGGTCTATGCACTGTTTAATCTTTTTCATTGACCATGTGGGTCCAATAGTATTGTTGGCAAAGTCTGTCGCCGAAGCCACTATGTTTTCTGCGTTTGTGTCTATAAGCACCTTCATAGCTCAGTTGGTAGAGCACATGACTTTAAGAAGTTCCTGAAAGGCTGTGGTCCAAAGGTCGCTGCTTCAACTCCTGCTCCAAACACCAGATTTCATTGGTCTATGCACTGTTCAATCTTTTTCATTGACCATGTGGGTCCAATTGTATTGTTGGCAAAGTCTGTCGCCGAAGCCACTATGTTTTCTGCGTTTGTGTCTGTAAGCACCTTCATAGCTCAGTTGGTAGAGCACATGACTTTAAGAAGTTCCTGAAAGGCTGTGGTCCAAAGGTCGCTGGTTCAACTGCTGCTCCAAACACCAGATTTCAATGGTGTATGCACTCTTAAACCTTTTTCATCGACCATGTGGGTCCAATAGTTATGTTGGCAAAGTGTGTCGCCGAAGCCACTATGTTTTCTGCGTTTGTGTCTATAAGCACCTTCATAGCTCAGTTGGTAGAGCACATGACTTTAAGAAGTTCCTGAAAGGCTGTGGTCCAAAGGTCGCTGGTTCAACTCCTGCTCCAAACACCAGATTTCATTGGTCTATGCACTGTTCAATCTTTTTCATTGACCATGTGGGTCCAATTTTATTGTTGGCAACGTCTGTTGCCGAAGCCACTATGTTTTCTGCGTTTGTGTCTATAAGCACCTTCATAGCTCAGTTGGTAGAGCACATGACTTTAAGAAGTTCCTGAAAGGCTTTGGTCCAAAGGTCGCTGGTTCAACTCCTGCTCCAAACACCAGATTTCATTGGTCTATGCACTGTTAAACCTTTTTCATCGACCATGTGGGTCCAATAGTTATGTTGGCAAAGTGTGTCGCCGAAGCCACTATGTTTTCTGCGTTTGTGTCTATAAGCACCTTCATAGCTCAGTTGGTAGAGCACATGACTTTAAGAAGTTCCTGAAAGGCTGTGGTCCAAAGGTCGCTGGTTCAACTCCACCTCAAAACACCAGATTTCATTGGTCTATGCACTGTTCAATCTTTTTCATTGACCATGTGGGTCCAATTGTATTGTTGGCAAAGTCTGTCGCCGAAGCCACTATGTTTTCTGCGTTTGTGTCTATAACCACCTTCATAGCTCAGTTGGTAGAGCACATGACTTTAAGAAGTTCCTGAAAGGCTGTGGTCCAAAGGTCGCTCGTTCAACTCCACCTCAAAACACCAGATTTCATTGGTCTATGCACTGTTCAATCTTTTTCATTGACCATGTGGGTCCAATAGTATTGTTGGCAAAGTCTGTCGCCGAAGCCACTATGTTTTCTGCGTTTGTGTCTATAAGCACCTTCATAGCTCAGTTGGTAGAGCACATGACTTTAAGAAGTTCCTGAAAGGCTGTGGTCCAAAGGTCGCTGGTTCAACTCCTGCTCCAAACACCAGATTTCATTGGTGTATGCACTGTTCAATCTTTTTCATTGACCATGTGGGTCCAATAGTATTGTTGGCAAAATCTGTCGCCGAAGCCACTATGTTTTCTGCGTTTGTGTCTATAAGCACCTTCATAGCTCAGTTGGTAGAGCACATGACTTTAAGAAGTTCCTGAAAGGCTGTGGTCCAAAGGTCGCTGGTTCAACTCCTGCTCCAAACACCAGATTTCATTGGTCTATGCACTGTTCAATCTTTTTCATTGACCATGTGGGTCCAATTGTATTGTTGGCAAAGTCTGTCGCCGAAGCCACTATGTTTTCTGCGTTTGTGTCTGTAAGCACCTTCATAGCTCAGTTGGTAGAGCACATGACTTTAAGAAGTTCCTGAAAGGCTGTGGTCCAAATGTCGCTGGTTCAACTCCTGCTCCAAACACCAGATTTCATTGGTGTATGCACTGTTCAACCTTTTTCATCGACCATGTGGGTCCAATAGTTATGTTGGCAAAGTGTGTCGCCGAAGCCACTATGTTTTCTGCGTTTGTGTCTATAAGCACCTTCATAGCTCAGTTGGTAGAGCACATGACTTTAAGAAGTTCCTGAAAGGCTGTGGTCCAAAGGTCGCTGGTTCAACTCCTGCTCCAAACACCAGATTTCATTGGTCTATGCACTGTTCAATCTTTTTCATTGACCATGTGGGTCCAATAGTATTGTTGGCAAAGTCTGTCGCCGAAGCCACTATGTTTTCTGCGTTTGTGTCTATAAGCACCTTCATAGCTCAGTTGGTAGAGCACATGACTTTAAGAAGTTCCTGAAAGGCTGTGGTCCAAAGGTCGCTGGTTCAACTCCTGCTCCAAACACCATATTTCATTGGTCTATGCACTGTTCAATCTTTTTCATTGACCATGTGGGTCCAATTGTATTGTTGGCAAAGTCTGTCGCCGAAGCCACTATGTTTTCTGCGTTTGTGTCTATAAGCACCTTCATAGCTCAGTTGGTAGAGCACATGACTTTAAGAAGTTCCTGAAAGGCTGTGGTCCAAATGTCGCTGGTTCAGCTCCTGCTCCAAACACGAGATTTCATTGGTGTATGCACTGTTCAACCTTTTTCATCGACCATGTGGGTCCAATAGTTATGTTGGCAAAGTGTGTCGCCGAAGCCACTATGTTTTCTGCGTTTGTGTCTATAAGCACCTTCATAGCTCAGTTGGTAGAGCACATGACTTTAAGAAGTTCCTGAAAGGCTGTGGTCCAAAGGTCGCTGGTTCAACTCCTGCTCCAAACACCAGATTTCATTGGTCTATGCACTGTTTAATCTTTTTCATTGACCATGTGGGTCCAATAGTATTGTTGGCAAAGTCTGTCGCCGAAGCCACTATGTTTTCTGCGTTTGTGTCTATAAGCACCTTCATAGCTCAGTTGGTAGAGCACATGACTTTAAGAAGTTCCTGAAAGGCTGTGGTCCAAAGGTCGCTGGTTCAACTCCTGCTCCAAACCCCAGATTTCATTGGTCTATGCACTGTTCAATCTTTTTCATTGACCATGTGGGTCCAATTGTATTGTTGGCAAAGTCTGTCGCCGAAGCCACTATGTTTTCTGCGTTTGTGTCTATAAGCACCTTCATAGCTCAGTTGGTAGAGCACATGACTTTAAGAAGTTCCTGAAAGGCTGTGGTCCAAAGGTCGCTGGTTCAACTGCTGCTCCAAACACCAGATTTCAATGGTGTATGCACTCTTAAACCTTTTTCATCGACCATGTGGGTCCAATAGTTATGTTGGCAAAGTGTGTCGCCGAAGCCACTATGTTTTCTGCGTTTGTGTCTATAAGCACCTTCATAGCTCAGTTGGTAGAGCACATGACTTTAAGAAGTTCCTGAAAGGCTGTGGTCCAAAGGTCGCTGGTTCAACTCCTGCTCCAAACACCAGATTTCATTGGTCTATGCACTGTTCAATCTTTTTCATTGACCATGTGGGTCCAATTGTATTGTTGGCAAAGTCTGTCGCCGAAGCCACTATGTTTTCTGCGTTTGTGTCTATAAGCACCTTCATAGCTCAGTTGGTAGAGCACATGACTTTAAGAAGTTCCTGAAAGGCTGTGGTCCAAAGGTCGCTGGTTCAACTCCTGCTCCAAACACCAGATTTCATTGGTGTATGCACTGTTAAACCTTTTTCATCGACCATGTGGGTCCAATAGTTATGTTGGCAAAGTGTGTCGCCGAAGCCACTATGTTTTCTGCGTTTCTATAAGCACCTTCATACCTCAGTTGGTAGAGCACATGACTTTAAGAAGTTCCTGAAAGGCTGTGGTCCAAAGGTCGCTGGTTCAACTCCACCTCAAAACACGAGATTTCATTGGTCTATGCACTGTTCAATCTTTTTCATTGACCATGTGGGTCCAATTGTATTGTTGGCAAAATCTGTCGCCGAAGCCACTATGTTTTCTGCATTTGTGTCTATAAGCACTTTCATAGCTCAGTTGGTAGAGCACATGACTTTAAGAAGTTCCTGAAAGGCTGTGGTCCAAAGGTCGCTGGTTCAACTCCACCTCAAAACACCAGATTTCATTGGTCTATGCACTGTTCAATCTTTTTCATTGACCATGTGGGTCCAATTGTATTGTTGGCAAAGTCTGTCGCCGAAGCCCCTATGTTTTCTGCGTTTGTGTCTATAAGCAAACACCAGATTTCATTGGTCTATGCACTGTTCAATCTTTTTCATTGACCATGTGGGTCCAATAGTATTGTTGGCAAAATCTGTCGCCGAAGCCACTATGTTTTCTGCGTTTGTGTCTATAAGCACCTTCATAGCTCAGTTGGTAGAGCACATGACTTTAAGAAGTTCCTGAAAGGCTGTGGTCCAAAGGTCGCTGGTTCAACTCCTGCTCCAAACACCAGATTTCATTGGTCTATGCACTGTTCAATCTTTTTCATTGACCATGTGGGTCCAATTGTATTGTTGGCAAAGTCTGTCGCCGAAGCCACTATGTTTTCTGCGTTTGTGTCTATAAGCACCTTCATAGCTCAGTTGGTAGAGCACATGACTTTAAGAAGTTCCTGAAAGGCTGTGGTCCAAAGGTCGCTGGTTCAACTCCTGCTCCAAACACCAGATTTCATTGGTGTATGCACTGTTAAACCTTTTTCATCGACCATGTGGGTCCAATAGTTATGTTGGCAAAGTGTGTCGCCGAAGCCACTATGTTTTCTGCGTTTGTTTCTATAAGCACCTTCATAGCTCAGTTGGTAGAGCACATGACTTTAAGAAGTTCCTGAAAGGCTGTGGTCCAAAGGTCGCTGGTTCAACTCCTGCTCCAAACACCAGATTTCATTGGTCTATGCACTGTTCAATCTTTTTCATTGACCATGTGGGTCCAATTGTATTGTTGGCAAAGTCTGTCGCCGAAGCCACTATGTTTTCTGCGTTTGTGTCTATAAGCACCTTCATAGCTCAGTTGGTAGAGCACATGACTTTAAGAAGTTCCTGAAAGGTTGTGGTCCAAAGGTCGCTGGTTCAACTCCTGCTCCAAACACCAGATTTCATTGGTCTATGCACTGTTCAATCTTTTTCATTGACCATGTGGGTCCAATTGTATTGTTGGCAAAGTGTGTCGCCGAAGCCACTATGTTTTCTGCGTTTGTGTCTATAAGCACCTTCATAGCTCAGTTGGTAGAGCACATGACTTTAAGAAGTTCCTGAAAGGCTGTGCTCCAAAGGTTGCTGGTTCAACTCCTGCTCCAAACACCAGATTTCATTGGTCTATGCACTGTTCAATCTTTTTCATTGACCATGTGGGTCCAATTGTATTGTTGGCAAAGTCTGTCGCCGAAGCCACTATGTTTTCTGCGTTTGTGTCTATAAGCAAACACCAGATTTCATTGGTCTATGCACTGTTCAATCTTTTTCATTGACCATGTGGGTCCAATAGTATTGTT